ATGCCAGTAGTTGTGAGCATTATGAAGATTTTGATTGATCATTTCAAGCTAGATTGTAAACTTCTAACTCACAAGCTAGAAAAGGCAATTCTTGAGAAACCTAATTATTAGTGTATTAATTACATATGTCATATTGATTATTATGAAAATCATAATTCCCTTCACATCAAGAACCATTATGCAGAGGAATGCATGCTCACCCTAAATCAATAGAATGATACGGGTGACCCTAGATGTGTGGTCATGGGAAAATTCTGTCACCTCTCTGAGTCTCAATGTATGTACAATTATATCAATAATATCTGTAGTACTTGACTAATGGGGTTATTGTGAGGACCAAATGATATAATTCATGTAAAGCCATAAGCTAAATGGTAATTATTATGCCTTAAACCTCCCTCCTTAGACTTCACCTCTCCCCTCTGATGGTGTCATGTACCTGCCTCTTCCCCTAATTCTGCTGGAACCTCCGAGCTCTCAAAGATGAATTTTTTTGACTCAAAGATTTTATCTTACTTCCATTTATTTAACATTATAATTATTCCCCCTTTTCATGTTGAAGGAACTCTTGTTCTCCACTTGTACCTAATTTATATCTACCATTATTGATGCCTACTGTTGAATCCTGGGCTTTTTTGGATCATGATAATTTCAGGTATGAAATTAATGGTTTAATTTCATTTATAATTTATGGTAAAATCTTACAAAATAATGATCTTTACACCTCATGGGAAAAGAAAAGTTATAATCAAGTAGTTGAGGCAAATGGGAAGAAAAATAGAATGATCCTTCTATATTAGAAGTGCCCTAGGCAGAAAGGCAACAAGGCAGCAGTATGTAGACTGTTGCCTTGATGAATTGCATCCTCTGTCCATGGTTCTGACTGCAAAGAGAAGACAGATACAGCTATCACAAATTCTGTTCTATTTATAGGAATTAAGTAAATGGATAGAGTACTGGGCTTGGAGTCAGGAAGACTCATGTCTTTGAATTGAAATCTGGACTCAGTAACTAACTCCAGGGACTCTAAGCACTCTAGGAAAGTCACTTAACCCTGTTTCCCTTAGTTTCCTCTTTGGTAAAATGAGCTGGAGAAGGAAATGGCAAACAACTTCAGCATCACTGCCAAGAAAACCCTAAATGGGGTCACAAAGAGTAGGACCATGATTGAACAACGACAACAAAAGTTTTGGATTTGATTAAATTCAACAAACATTTATTAAGTGTCTACTATGTGCCAAGCATTATGATTGGTATATATTGCTGAGGATACAAAAAGAAGCAAAAGACAGTCCCTTCCCTCAAATAGCTTACAATCTAATGGAGGAGATAGCTTGCAAAAAAAGGTATATACAAAGCAGGGTGTATGCAGAATATACATGCAGGATAAATAAGAAGCGATTAACAGTGGGAAGGCACTACAATTAAGAGAGGTTGGTGAAGATTTCCTGAAGGAGATGGGATTTTAGTGAGGATTTAAAGGACTGCAAGGAGATGAGTAGTTGGAGCAGAAGAGGGAGAGCCTTCCAAGCATAGGGGGCAACCAGATATAATGCTTGGAGCTAAAAGAAGGGATATCATGTTTGTGAAAGAGCCAAAAGGTCAGTGACACTGGATCAAAGAGGATGTGTGGGGAGGAATATGTAAGAAAACTGGAAAGACTGGTAGGGGCTAGTTTATGAAGGGCTTTTAATGCCCTAATGAGCATATTATGTTTGTTCCTGGAGGCAATTGGAAACCACTGGGTTTTATTGAATGTGGGAGGAGGAGTGGCATGATCAGACTTATATTTTAGGAGAAACACTTTAGTGGTTGAATGGATGGAATAGAGTGAGGAGATACTTGAGGTAGGCAACAGTTTAGGACATGATGAGATGGAAAGGAAAGGGGTGACCTAGGAGTCAGGACAATTGGGCATGAAAATGGAATGAATCCCTTTTCTAGATGAGAAGGGCCCTCAGAAGAAAGCTAACAAATCACCCAGGAGTGAAGTGTATCATTTATAGCTTCTTTACATGGTCCTGATTGCTCATACAGGAGAGAGACTGTTAGCACATATTCTGTTCCTTTTCTAATAAACATTCAAGTTTTATTAGCTTTCATAGTTATTGAGTTTTAATGTTTATCTACATAATTTTCCATTAAGTGACCATAACTCTTTGCTAAACCAAATTCAGTAGAATTCACCTGAAGATAAAGCTCACTAAATATGAAAAACAAAAACAAACAAAAAAAACATCAAAAGAATCAAGCAACCAAATCAATAGGCATTAATTAAGCACTTACTATGTGTCAACCACTGTGCTATGAGTTGGAGATATTAATACATATAACTTCAAGACCATATGGATTTTTAAAAATTTTATTCTTAATTATGGAATAAAACAAGCATTTCCATAATGTAGCACAATAAAAAGAAGATTGTGCATGAAACTGCAAGTCTTTTATGCACAAATTGCTATTCCTTTCAAATATGCAACAAAATTATCATGTAAATTTCTTTTTTTTTCTTCCCTTCTCCCAGCCCCCAACCCTAGAGATGGCTACCATTAGACACAAATAGGTGAGTGTGTGTATGTGTATGTATGTACAATTATTATATAAATACTTCTAGTTACCAGTTCTTTTTCTGCATTGAGATAGCATCTTTCTTTGTATGTCCTTTGTATTTAATTTGGGTATTTATAATAGTCAAAATAACTTATTAATTCAAGGCATTGTTAAAGCAAGATTGCTGTTACTCTGTACAATGTTCTCTTTGCTCTGCCCATTCCACTCTTCATCATTTCATGCTTTTTGATTAAAATCTATAGATATCACTGAGGAACAGGAAAGACTGAAATTAGGTATAAAGTATTGATCAGCAAGGTGAGAAGAGGCTGGTGACTCATTTTCATTTAGTCTGTCTGGAAAAATAGAAACAAGACTAAGAAAGATATTGCAAAGCAAACTCCACAGGGGACTGAATGACTGTTCGTATCTGGCTTTCATATTACCACAAAGAATGTGGTAAATTGAAGATCATGCAAAAGAAGGCAAGCAGGATAGGGAATCATTTGAAGTAATTGGGCATGTTTAACAAGGAGAGTAGAAGCCTCAGTGAGGGACGATGACCATGGACTTTGAGGATTTCAGGAGCAATCAGGTATAGAATAAATTCTCATTTTGTAGTTTGAGCCCATAGTTTACAAGTAGGAATAATGGAGCAAATACATGAAGAGGCAAATTTAGTTTTAATATCACAAAAAACTTCCTATTAATAATGGAAAAAAAGTAGAATGGGTGGCCTTGAGAGGCAATGGTTTTCCCCTCTTTGAGATTGTTCATAGAGAGACTGGATGGTATCTTGTCTGGAATGTTACACTGAACATAACTATTGAATGTGTATTAGAATATGTGTCAAAGGAGTTAAATTTGACACAATAATATCATTAGCAATAAAACCAACACAAATAACCAGCTTTTACATTCTGTGAATCTATGATTCTAATTCTAAGTGATAGTAAATACATTAAAGGTAACTATGAAGAAAACATGCAGAAAAGTTATACATGTTTTAAAGAAAAACCTATCTAGTTAAATTAAAACTTTTATTTCTATTACCCAAAGGAATGAGACTTCATGGCATAAAGAACAAAGAACTGGCCTACATGCAGAACAGTAAGGTAGACAGTGAACATTTATTAAATGCTTACTTTATGCCAGACACTATGCTAGTTCCTGTCTGTGATTTGTCATGAGTGAAATTTAACAAAAAAAAGTAAACTGAGGCATGTTGCTCCAAGCAATATATAATTTTCTTAACAGGATGTGCTACCTGCCAAGAAAAGGGTCAATGGCTGCCTCAGTTTCTAGCCAAAGTAAAAAGAGAGCTCCTTTTTTATAGGTTTTGGAGAGTACAGAACAAAGGACAGAACATAGTGTGTGACATCAAGGAATTAAGGGGAACATAACTGGATACCTAGCTGAGGCATGGGAAACAACATAATTGACTGGAAATTTGTAATGATGGACTGGCAACAACCCCCTCCTTTCCTCCGGAGACTAAGAAGTTGTTTGAGTCCACTTGAAAGGACAAAAATAAGGGTCAAGACTTCTTTGAACAGCAAACCAGACATCCCTAAAGGATAGCTTGGTGGTGTAAAGATATTAGGCCAGACTCCAGTATGACAAGTTAAATCCCCCAAGGTTAGCATAATTGTTTGAGACAAGAATAGAACAGTGGACAGGATTTTTAAACTTAACCCATCACAAGTCAGCTAAATTCTGAACTAGGTTCCAAGACAGAGAACAATGACTTAGGCAGTTGCAGGACAAAATCAATTAACAATAAATAGGATCAATAAAAATGATATGGAGTCAATTTTATCTTCTCAGGTAAGATTGTGACCATGTGTAATTCATTAATCCTCTCTGTCTACTTCCTAACTCCATGAAACTCTCTGAAAATGTAAGCTGAAAAAATGAACAGAATGAACAGACCTTTTGTTAAACTTCAAGAAAAATCCTCAATAAAAGAACAGAGTTGTGAGAAAATTATCAGACTCCACAAATTTATGAAAATTATAAATCATAGAATCAAACACAGGAAGGCAAAGAAGGGGGCATGAGTCCCAGGTTCTGGTTCAAAAGGGAGAGTTCAAATTACCTGATCCATGTGAGAAATAACATATAGGACACAGAGATTTTGTTGTTCAGTCATTTATCCTTGTCCAACTCTTCATGACCCCATTGACCATAGTACTACAGTCCCTTCTATCTTCCACTATCTCCCAAAATCTTTCCAAACTCATGTTCATTGCTTCCATGATACTATCTATCTATTCATCTCGTCCTCGCCTGTCTCCTTTTCCTCTTGCCTTCAATCTTTCCCAACATCACGGCCTTTTCTAATGAGTCCTGCCTTATTATGTGTCCAAAGTAGTTAACCTTCAAGAACATAGAAAAGGTATACTTTAAAGATCAAAGTGGACAAGAAAAATCATTGAAAAATTTTCTACTGAATGATGATTTCATCCTATCCATAACTTTCTTAAAAACACTTTTGACTTCACTGTTCCTCAGGCTATAGACCAGAGGATTTAACATGGGGATTACCATAGTGTAGAAAACTGATGCAATTTTATCTGTGTCCATGGAATGACTAGAGCTGGGTTGTAAGTACATGAAGATTCCTGATCCATAGAAGATGGACACAGCTGTGAGGTGAGAGGCACAGGTGGAAATGGCTTTCTGGCGGGCCTCAGCTGAGCGCATCCTCAAGATGGTGATAAAGATGAATAAATAAGATATCAAAATTATGAAAAGGGCAAAAAAGGCCGTAAGTGACACAACAAAGAAGACAACCATTTCATTAATGTCTATGGCAGAGCATGAGAGAGCCATTAATGGTGGAATATCACAGAAAAAGTGATGGACCACATTAGACTTACAGAAGTGGAGGCTGAAAGTGTTTCCCGTGTGAATGGAGGAAGTAAGAAAACCACAGATGTAGCACCCAATGGCCAAACGAGCACATATACTGGATGTCATGAGGATGGGGTAATGGAGGGGCTTACATACAGCTGTGTAGCGATCATAGGCCATTACAGCTAGGAGATAACTTTCAACATTGACTAAGCCTATAAAGAAGAATAACTGCATAGCACATCCATTGTAGGAAATAAATTTGTCCCCTGGGAGGAACCCAACCATCACCTTTGGAGTAACAGCTGAGGAGTAGCCAAAATCCACCAGAGAGAGGTTACTGAGGAAAAAGTACATGGGTGTATGGAGACAGGGATCCCAAGAGATCAGGGCTATCATCCCCAGGTTTCCCACCAGGGTAATGAGGTAGATGATGGTGAAAATTAAGAAGAGAGGCATCTGAAACTCTAAGACATCTGTTAGGCCCACAAGGATGAACTCCTTCACTTCTGATCCATTTTCCATGAAGGACTTTAAGGATTTGGGTGATTCATCTGGGAAAAGAAAAAAAATAAGTTGTGGCAGTAATCAATATTTTCTCTGGGTCATGGAATCATGTATTTTATTAAAATATGAAACTGTGAGTTTCTGATATGACAAAAATTGTGTAGGTTAAACTTAACACAATAATACTAATGCTGTAATTATGATTTTTTCAACATGTTGCAATGAGGAAAATTACATTCCACACTTTGAAAATCATTAATGAGCTAATATTATTGAACTTTAATCTCCTCAGTTCCCATGACCTCCATGTTGATTCCACTTTAGCCATACAGAGAAATGTCTATATCCTTGATTGGACGATTACTCATAATTGTTCTTCCTCCATGATCCAGAGCTCTGAAATTTGTCTCTTCAATAATAATGTCTTCTCTTTCCATTACACATTTTGTCTCACATCTTGTCAAAACAAATTCACTCCTTACTTGAACACCAGTTGCTACATCCCTCACTGTTTTGAAATTTCATCAACCTTACTCTAATCTGTTTCCTTTGCCTTCATAGTCTTGACCCTGTGGTTGGTTATATAACCTTACTCTAATAGCTGTGTTAGTATTCATGACACCTTATACTTTCACCAGTCATTCCAACTCTGGGATATGCCTACCATCCACATTTTCTAGTCTTATTAACGTGCTACTGACCAAGCCCCATTACCCTGCTGACCGAGTTCACTGCAAATTCATGTTATTTTCTTTCACTTGAGTGCTCATATGCCTAAAGCAATCCACTTATTCATCTCTAACTAACTTCCAATGTCACCTTTCAAAACATGTTTTTCTCAAGTCTTTTTTTCTGTCTTCTAAGTCTTCTTATGCTACTTCCTTCATCCTCCATCTTAGCAGAGAAAGATGTCTTCTTTTTTGAATTCCCTCTTTCCCCTACTCCACACACTTTTGCCATCTTCGTCAACCCAAATTCTCTACCTTTATTTTAGGGGAAAAAACAGGTCTTCTCCTTGACAATGTTAAATTCTTCATTTTTTCCCCATTTAATACCCTCTTCTTTCCTCCAATAACAACTTTGTTGTTGCTGTTCACTCACATTTCAGTCATATATGACCCTAATCCTACTTGACCCCATTTGGGGATTTGTTGGCAGAGATGCTGGAATGGTTTGCCATTTCCTTCTCCAAATGATTTTACAGATGAGGAAACTGAGGCAAACAGGATTAAATGACTTTCCCAGAGTCACAAAGTTAGTATGTATCTGAAGCCAGATTTGAACTCAGTCTTCCTGACTCCAGGCCTGGTAATATATCCATTCCACCACCTAGTTGCCCCCAAAACAATAACAATCACCAACATTGATATGGCATGATAATGTTTAGAAATGTTTTTAAATATTAGCTAATTTTATCTCCACACTAATGCTGGGAAGTAGATGCTGTTATTATATCCATTTTACAAAGAAGGAAACTGAGGCAAACAAAGTTTAAGAGACTCACCCAGGGTCACATAGTAAATAAATGTCTGAAACCCAATTTGAAATCTGGTCTTCCTGAGAACAAAGGTAGCACACTATTTCAAAGATGTTTATGGTACTTTGCTTTGGTCAGACCGTGCCTGGAGTGTCGTATACAGTTCTGGTAACCACACTTTACGGAGGTCACTGATGATCTGGAGAGCATCCAAAGGTGGACAACCTGATGGCGAAGGACCTTGAATCCTTCATGTGAGGAATTGGGGCGGACTAGTTAAGCTAGAGAAGAGAAGGCTCAGGACACAACACCTGTGTTCAAGTATCTGTAGGAAAGATTGGAATTGTCCTGTTTGATTCCAGATCGGGGTGAGGGACAGGAGCCATGGATTAAAAATTATAAGGAGCTACGTGAAGCAGTGGGTTCCCCTCCCCAGATTTTTTAAGCAGAGGCTGAATGACCATTTTCATGAATATTTCAGAGGATTTAGATTGTACTCAATGGGCCATGAGCATTCTCCCAAGTTTAAAATTCTGTGATCCTCTATGAAGAATCCAAGCCCAGTTCTCTCTCTAACAAAATCAACTATGTCAAAATCACTTACCTACTCAGACATATTTGTTTCCTTTAAGGAACTTTAACCTCAGGACAACTTGCCCTGAATATTCTGGCATTGACAGCTGCCTGCCAGACAAACTTTGTAACTGAATACAAACTGGTCAAAAACCTGGAAGAGAAGTTCCAAGAGGAAATAGACAGTTTAGGTAAGAACCTCTCCATCAAAGGCTGCCTTTCCTCCTTCCTTCATTGTTCCACTTTTACATTCCATCTCTTCTTCTTTGTTCTACTACATCTCTGAGGGCTTACTAACCTCCCTCCTTCCACATCCACGGCTTCCTCTTTTCCACCAATCAAATATTTACTGAGGACTTGTTGTGTCCCAAGTACTGTCCCAGGTATCATGAAGTATTTAAGAGCTTAGGCACATAATGAGGAGATAAGATAATGTACGAGAAAGAGAACCATAGCAGCCAGTATCTGAGTCTAGGAATGTATCACAGTCAGATAGATAGCAAGTGCTACAAGAAGACAGAGTAAGGCTGCGTTGTATTCTGTTGAAAGACATTTCTTAGAGAAACAGGAAATTCAGAGTTCAATCTTTGGTTTAAGGACTGATTTTAATGATAAATCAATGAGCATTTATTAAGTACCTACTATGTGCAAGGCACTGGGATAAAGTGAATTATGAGGCATTTATAAAATTCACAATAAATATATCAAGCATGAAATTCCATGCTTTATATTTACACAGTTTTAGCCCATGAAAAATTAGTCACTCTATGCTACTCCAGAAGGCAGCATCAGGATCAACTGGCAGAAGTTAGAAGCAAGCAGGTTCCAGCTCAACAAAAGACTTAGCTAACATTTAGAACCATACAACATTGGGACAAATGCCTTATGAGGTGGTGAGATCCCCATTGCAATAAGTGTTCAAGCAGAGACTAGGTAGACAGCTGTCAGAGATGGTGTAGAGAGGATTCCTTCATTAGATAAGAAATTGGACTGCGTGATCTCCAAAGACCCTTCTGATTCTAGGGCTCTCATCACCTTTCTGGAGCCCTCTTCTCCTCTGGGAGATAAATTCCTGTCCAGGTTGTAATTTCATATCTTCAGCTATTTTCTATCCATGTTCTCTCTGTTACCCAACTTTATTTAATAGGGAGCAGGGGCAGGGGCCAGAGAGGAAGAGGAGTAGGATGAAGGAGGAAGAGGACAAAAACATTACTTTGGTATATATCCCTCTTGTTTTCCTTCTATGGCTAAGGTATTTATTCTTTGCTTCCCATCAGATACCTCTGGCCACCCACTGACTAACTACTACCAGCTTGGCTTGGATGTCTTGGCTTTGTGTCTTCTAAATGGAACCTATTCATCCTCCAAAATTGCTGAGCTCTTCTCTGCAGAGCAAATGAAGAGTTATATTAGTGGTCGGTTCTCTGTGGGTAAGTAATGACACCAGGCTATCTTCCCTACACAAAATCCAAGTGTGAAATCGAAACAGAAATTTAGCCTCCATCATCTCATCTACTGTCTCAGGTAAACATTTTAGGGAGTAGTCAATCCATCAAGAAGTATTTAATAAGCTCCTACTACGTGCCATGCACTGTGCTGAGACCTGGGAATACAAAGAAGAAAAAAGTCTCTACTCTCAAGTGTCTTACATTCTAACAGAGTAGACAACATACGTAAATTAAAACAGACAAGATAAATATAAAGTAGATGGAAGGTAGCCTTGGAAAGGTTAGCACTACACCCTGAAGGGACTGAGAAAAATCTCCTGGAAAAGATGGCACTTGTATGGAGTCTTAAGAGAAGCCAAGGATTCTAAGAGCAGGAGATTAGGAAGGAGAGTGTTCCAAATGGGGAATGGACTGTGCCAAAGCATGGAAACGGGAAATGGTGCTCTGTATCTGAGAAGTGTCAAGTAGGGTAGTATGGCTGCACCATAGAGTGCTGTGGAGGAGAGTAAAGGGTGTGAATACTGGAAAGGTAGGAAGGGGCCAGGTTTATGAAAAGCCATTTCCTTCTCCAGCTCATTTTACAGATGAGGAAACTCAGGCAAATAGGGTTATGTGACTTGTCCAGGGTCATACAGCTAGGGAGTGTCTGAAGCCAAATTTGCACTCATGAAAATGAGTCTTGTTGACCGCAGGCCCCACACTCTATCCATGATACCACCTAGCTACCTGGGAATCACCTACACAGAGAGAATGATTGCAGCCCTAGGAACTAATGATAAAAACCAAGTAAACGTATAGAGAGAAAGGAGACCAGGACAGAACCTTGGTTAATGGTTACAACAGGGATGAAGACCCAGCAAAAAAAGCTGAAAAGGAGAGGGTAAGACCGATTATGAAGAGATCTAAGAAAGAGCAGAGTGATGAAAACCCAGAAAAGAGAGATTATCCAGCAAAAGGTAGTCATCAGTGTAAAAGACTGCAGAGAAGTCAAATAGGATGAGTATTGAGAAGAGGCCATGAAATATGGCATTTCAGAGATCATTAGTAACTTTGGAGAGAACAGTTTCAGTTGAATGATGAGCTCACAAGCTATACTTTAGAGGATTTAGAAGAGACAGAGAAAAGGAAGTGGAGGTACTGGTCATAGATGGCTTTTTTCAATGAGTTTAGCAGAGAAGGGGAGGTAGTGGGGGATGGTGTTAGAGGGATATAAGATGAGAAGGGGGGAGGAGGAAACTCTTGGAAAATGGGCTAAATTTTTTTTTGGTGAAGTAAAAATCCTTAGCAGAAATAGTGGGGGAAGGGAGTGGTATGAGAGGGTTTGAGAAGAGAATAAAAAGGTTGAAACTGCTGTGGTAGGTAAAACAAAGAGCCCATTAGGGAGAACTATTGAGTACCTTGTTATAGTGAGATTAGCCAGCACCAATTTGTAGTAGACTCAATTGTCACCATTTCATGATTTCTTCCAATTAATTCAGTTTCAGCATCATGTCAGTGAAGGTGGGGGAGGTGGATAGTGCGAACAATCCAGGGTTGTGGTTTAGCAAGTCATGATTGGCATAAGGACAACAGAACAAGGAATTCAAGAGAAGGGGATTGTGAAGAGCAGAACTGTTCCACCAAGGGGTCAAAATTGGGAAGGGAAAAGAGTACAGCGAGAGTAGAGGTGATGGCCCAAGACAGTACTGGGGAATGGAAGGATTGGCAGTCATAGACAGGATGAAGAGAAGGCTTAGATATAGAAGGTAATGGAAAGATAAAAATGTGCTGACCATGTGCTGGAAATTCAGAGTTCTTGAGCATGGCAGCAGAACATTTGCTGGTGATAGCAAGAGCATCTTTTTTGCAGCTTAGGTGGAATGGAAGGGTAGGTTGTGAGGGCTGAATCAATTGTGAAAGTGGAAAGCACATGAACATGTTCAGTTGAAGTCCCCATAATGAGGGAAGTAGTGGGGTGAAGAGGAAGACTGTGAACAAGGCACTGAATTTATGGAGAAAGGAAAGAGAATGTCCTAGATTGGGTGATAAATTTGTATTGAATGAACCCCAAAGGAAGAGAAGTCACTGAGTGATGGTCATAAAGAGGGAGTGGCAGTGGGGAGCAAGGAGTATTCCAACCCCCACCACAACCAGTTAGTAGGGAGTGTGAGAGAAAATCTAGCTAATCCTGGAGAGGGTGGCAAGGGAAACTGTACCATCAGAAGGGAACCAGGTCTCAGTGAATGCCAGAAGACAGGAGTGAGAAAGAAAAAGTTTTAAGATGAAAGAAAAATTGCTTATTATGGAGATGTTCCCGAAAGAACATTGGAAGGGACAGGAAAATCTGGAGTGGGAAATTGGCAAGGGAGGAGGAGAGGATTGAGGGAACAAAAATGAGGAAGCAGACAGAAGAATACAGAGACTAAGATAATACTTTCCATTCAGGGAATTATGACATCGGGGTATGTACTATAAGCACATCCTTCCTTTTTCACCACGTCCTGGGTTTTATCACTAGTTTTGCCAACTTTTGATATGGGGGGAGGTAAGATGGATACAGTAGGTGGGTAAGAATAGTAGTAGAAGAGGAAAGATCATTGCTGAAGTGTGTGTATGGGCATATGTTTCTGGAAAGGCTGAAGCAGAGAGAGCTATAGGAAGGCTCCTCCAGGGGACATATCCCATGACTCTCATGAACTTGGGGTCTTTTTGCTTTGGCAATAGTGCGTCTGGAGAGATGATACCAACAACTCACCCTCTCACAGATGTGTCTCTGAAAATAGAAGGGTAGATATATCAAGCATACTGAACAACAGTGTGCCTCAATTAAAAAAGAAAACCAGAACAGAGATTTCATCGATGTAAGAAGCTGTAAGAATTTGCTCTGCCTAGGAAGGTCAGCATCTTCTCTGTAACTTAAAGTCACCGAGAATTGATACAGGTAGTGCATCAGTCAATCAAATTGGGGAAATTTTAGCTCACAGGTAAGTATCAAAGTCGTCATTCATCTAAATGGAAATTAGCTCAATCAGATACCCACTTTGCATTAGAAACTTGGTATTGATGACTTATAAAAATAAGTCCCACACATGCTGCATTCAGGTAGAAATAACATACACACAGAATAGGACTGAAGGTCACAAGAGAGGGAAGACCTACACATCCAGATAGACTACTGGGGACAAAAATGGAAGATATAACGTATTGTAGAAACATCACTGGCTCTGGACTCAGAGTGCCTGGGTTCAAATCCCCTCCCTGAAATTTACTACCTGTGTGACCTTAGGCAAGTCATTTAAACTTTCTGGGCCTCAGTTTCTTCATCTGAAAAATAATAGGGTTAGAATAGATAGTGTCTGAGATACCTTTCAGTTCTAGACCTATGAACCTAACATAAGAAGACAAAATAAAAAATATACCTTTTCTAGGTTCCCATGCACTAGCCTGGAAGAGTCTAGGGTAGCAGTAAACCAAGAGATGCCCACTTACCTCTGAGACACACACACACACACACACACACACACACACACACACACACACCGGTACCTATGCTATGTTTTTTCTGACTCCCTGAATCTCTTAACAGACACTGGGGCACTTGCAGTCCTGGCTCTGACTTGTGTGAACAGGCAAAGCCCAGATAAAATTATCAGTAAAAATATATTAGGGCTTGTGGAGAAGATCCTGAAGGAGAAAAAACAAGATGGCACCATTGGAAATATCTATAGTACGGGAGAAGCCATGCAGGTGAGTTTATGGAAATTAAAGAGAAGAGACATCAGCAATAGTAACTGAAGAGGGTGCTATCCCCTCCTTTGGGCCCCCTGTTCTCAGGGGGGATAGAACACCTGTGTTCAAGTATCAGAAGGATTCTCTCTGTCTCTCTGTCTCTGTCTCTGTCTCTGTCTCTCTCTCTCTCTCTTTCTTCCTCCCTCCCTCTCCCTCACTCCTTCCCTCTCTTTCTCTTTTTCTTTCTCTCTCTCCCTCCTCTCTTCTCTGTATCTCTGTCACTCTTATTTTAATTTTTTTATTGATGCCTTTCTTGTTTTTTATATTACTACTACTTCCCAATGACTCCTCCCCTGACCCTTCCCAATATTACTCCCTCTTGTAACAAATAAGTACAGTCAAACTAAACAAATCATGGTTTCCCCTTTAATACAAGTGCCTTTGCTGTATTGGTTATCTTCAATTTATCTTGTCTAGATCCCTTGAAAACAAATTGTCTTTTGCTATTCTTTGTATCCCCAACACTTAGCACAGTGCCTGGTATGTTATAGACTCTTAATAAATGTTTATTGACTGACTGACCATATGGTTCTGTGCATCTCTCAGGAAGAGCTGATCCCTACTACTATTTCTTTTACATCCCCATCCATCCTTCCCCCAGTACTTAGCACATGATAGATGCTAAATAAATGCTCATTGGCTGATTATTTGAGAGAGCAATAGAAGAGATTGAGATTGGTATCTCCTCCCCCAGAATTCTTTAAAAACAGAAGAGACCTTTATCCACTAGGAGAGTTTATAGGTCTAGGTTTCCTCTAAAAAGGGGAAGGACAAATAGACTGCTGTCACATTCCCCTTCAAGATGTAGTCCCTAGAAAACTTCAGATTTCAACATGGTTTCTTAAATTGAGATTTCCTTTTTTCCCTCTCTTTCTGAACCCTATTAGGCCCTTTTTGTGACTCCAGAGTATTATAAGAAAGAAGACTGGGACTGCAATCAGACTCTCAAAACCGTGCTAAGCCAGATTCCTCGAGGAACATTCGGCTTGCCCATCGCTGCAGCCCAGGTGTTGCCTGCCCTGGAGGGCAAGTCGTACTTGGACATTACCCATGTTTCCTGTCAGTCCAGACAAGGTATAAGCATCCTAAGAGAGATGTCTTTATTCTTTCCTAAGAAGAAATCTACCCAATGAAAGTGAGTCCTAGGAGTCCTTGGAGCCTAGATGAAACTTCTGGGAATGATTTGCCCATGAGGTTAATCCCAATGCAACATCTGGAAATGAAATAGTCAACTATCTCGAGGAGGGAAATCTAAGAGAATGACAAATTGGATGGTATTCTCGCTGGGCCATTAGTCAGCAAGGAAGGCTCTGGTGAACTGATTCAGTTTTCAAAGCAATTGTGCCCTAGGTAATTCAATCCTCCTTCACTGGCTCCAAGAACCACTAGAACTCATTTCCACATTGCTTGCTTTTCTGGGAATAAGTAACATGGCATTACACAACTTCCTCCTCAATTGAAGCATGACTGTCTAATCAATTGTGACTGATGGTGTCTCCAAGTTGCAGAAACTATAGTGATTATACAGGAGAGGGTTAAATGAACATGAGTGAAAAAACAATCAATCAACAAACATTTATTAAGTATCGACTGTATGCTGGATATGATGCTCAGTCCTTGAGATAAAGACAAAAATGAAATAAATTGGGAAAGGTTTCATAGAATAGAGCCTCTCACATTTAGCTATAAAAATATTACAAAGTACCCACCTCACAACAACCTTGTGGGATGGGCTGTGCATGTTTCTTCCCAGTCTACAGATGAAGACACTATGGCTCACAAGGGTGAAGTGACTTCTCCAAGGTCACACAGCTAGTCAGTGACAGGAGTGGAATTCAAACCCAGGTCTTTGGACACCAAGGTCAAGATGCATTCCTCCGTGGAATGTTGCCCCTCTCAGAGAACTGGAGTTATTCAAAGGGACAGCGAAGGAAGACAGAGACCTTTTCTTCTTTTCTTTGTTCAACTCTTAATGAATGTAGCAAAAAAAGGGCCAAGAGACTAGTGAGAAATGAGAGTCCCAGCTTCTAGGGTTTCTGTGCTGAACATTGAACCTGGCTGGTTGATGAGATGTCAGCTTTCACTGGGAGATCCTGCTTCAGTTATTTCATGGCCCAGATTTGACTGAAATCACACTCTGGATAGTAGAGAGAACATCAGAGACAGTACTACCACCATCAGTCTCTTTTTAGGTACCTCCTCAGTGAGACACACAAAGCAGAGTGCTGCACAGAAATTCCTCTAGCTAGGTAGTGCAGTGGATAGAGCACCAGGCCTGGAGTCAGAAACACTCATCTTCCTGAGTCCAAATCTGGTCTCAGACACTTACTAGCTGTGTGATCCTGGGCAAGTCAATTAACCATTTGCCTCAGTTTCCTCATCTGTAAAATGAGTTGGAGAAGGCAATGACAAACCACTCCAGCATCTCTGCAAAGAAAACCCCAAATGGTTTCACAAAGAGTCAGACATGATAAAAACAACTCAACAATGACATAATTCTGGTTCCCTCCCCAAGATGCTTTCTACTCTCTGTCTCTCTGTCTCTCTGTCTCTCTCTCTCTCTCTGTCTCTTTGTTTCTCTCACTATTTCTCTGTGTCTGTCTCTATGTCTTCTCCTCTGGCTATCTTTATCTCTGTTTCTCTCTCTCTGTCTCTTTCTGTGTGTGGTGTGTGTGTGTGTGTGTGTGTGTCTCTTTTTCACATACACACACACACACACACACACACACACACACAAGTGCTCTATCTTGCTAATCTGCTCAAATCTGCAAGGAATCCCAACAAGAGAGACATGACCATCAAGAGACATAGAGACAAGGTCATCAAATTACAAGTCAAATGACAAATGGTGCTAGCCTCCTCCAGAACTACCAAATGTTGAGTTTTAATTAACCAAAATAGGACTCTCTGAGGACAGGAGGGGCAGGATAAAGGAATAGACCCAAATGGAGTTGGAATGGACCTGGAGCCAACCAAGGATTTGGTCTTTCTCTCATGTTTTGCTTGCCATCTGACCATTACGTATCTGAGTGTTCCTCTGTCTTCTCCTCTGTCCCTGGCAGGTCACCTCAACATCTCCACCCCAAAACCTACAGAACCCACTCACCAATCCAAGAATATCTCAGTCACTTACAGTGTAGTGGATTCCATCAATAACAACATTAATGAATCCACCATCGTCTCAGTGCCAAAGGATTCTGTCTTCCTGAAGGTGATGGAGGCGGCTCAAACCAAAAACTACGCCAAATTTCGGTAAGTTTCTAAAAAGATTCTAAAAAGATTCTAAAATGAATTAGAATGATAAGATTCTAAAATGATTCTAAAATTCAGCTTATAATACGGATTGCCTACTTCTACAGACAACGCCAGAATGAGGAAATTAGCTGTTCTGAAACCCAAGGAAGAAGCAAGTCTAGATTCATTAAAGACTTTCTAGGTCTCAGCAATGAAGAAGCAACAGCACTATGGATGACTAGGAATTTAAAGGCTTAAAAACACCTGGAATTTGATTGTGTGAGCAAAATCTGGTTCGCTATTATAAAGTCACATGAAGATTAGGGGGAAAATCGATTCCCAAGAGCTAATTTTAAAACTGCCCAAAACTTTTGCCTGGCCAGCAAGCAGGATTAAAAGCCGGTCCCCAGTCACTACGTACAATTCGCCTAGAGCAGGAGTTTTTAACTCGGGCTCCATAGATTTGGTTTTCTTTTTAATATCTTAATAATTGCATTTAAATATAATCGGTTTCCTTCGTAATCCTATGTATTTTATTGTATTAATTTGGAAACACCGTTGTAAAAGAGACAGGCACAGTGAAAGAAACAGACACAGAAAAAGAAAGAGAAACAGAGACAGAGGAGTCCGTGAGCTTTCCCAGACTGCCAGAAGAGCCTGAGACCAAAAAAAAAAAAAAAAAAAAAAAAAAAAGGGATAAGAATTCCAGTTCCAGGTCACCAAGGAAGAGCAGACCTCAAGAGAACAGAAAATCCAGGTTCCTGCTTGGAAGCTTTTCCCCTAGCAGCACAGAGTAGAGAGAGCTTTTTCCTTTTTATGTAATAATAAGAATTATTATTATGTAATGTTTTAAGTCTGCAAAGCACTTTACAAATATTACCTCATTTATCTTTCTATTCAGTTTCACTGCATTTTGCTTTGAATTAATGTGTAATTTTGTCTAGTCTAATAAAAACAAAATATCAAACAACCTAGAAAAAAATTTAAGGAATAATCTCTAACACCAGCATGTCGAAAGCACATGACCACCATATGCACCAAGGCTATTTAAACTACCCCAGAAGTTCATGGAGCAACACAGGAAAGGTAGCGTGGAAACAATGACCTTTCTCATGCTTTCCAATGTCTCCCAGGTTCCTGGCCTCCTTATACATCAAAAAATAATTAATCTCAGGATGCCTTAAAAGAGGCATAGTGACCACAAAAAAGGAGATAATGTGTGCTCTGGTCTGACCCCAGTGGGGCATCTTGTGGAGTTCCACATGCTACATTTTAGGGACAACACTGAGAAACTGAAGCGTATCCCAATGAGGATAGGAAGGAGCCTGGGATAATTAGCCTAGAGAAGACTGAGAGAGGAGATAACTACTTGGAAGTATTTGAGAGACTGGCTTTGTAGAGGAGAGATCACACTCACTCTGCTTGGCCCCAGAGGGCAGAAGTAGAAGCAATGAATAGAAGCTGAAGAGGGGCAGATTTTGGATCATGGAAGGGAAAACTTAGCAGCAGATAAGGGTGCCCAGAAGTGAAATGGGCTGCCTCAGTAGGTAGCAGGATAAGAGCAGCCTGTTGACTTGACTTGTTGAATAGGTGGCTTAGGAAAGTAACTGGAAATCAGAAAGGCCTGAGTTTGAATTCCGCCTTGGATACTTAATAGCCTTGTGTCCCTGGAAAAGTCATAACCTCTGTCAGCCTCATTTTCACCATCTATAAAATGTGATTACAATTCCAGGATCCTTTCTTATAATACTCTGAAGTCACAAAAAGGGCCTAATAGGATTCAGTGAGATTAGCTTGGAAGCCTCCTTGAGGATGGGGAAATGTCCTTTGGTTTGTTTTGGGCTTTTTATATCCACAGTAAGTGTTTAATAACAGTTTATTGACTGATTGATGGGGGTTGTTTGTGAGGATAAATGTGATACCACATGCAGCATTTTGTAAATCTTAAAGGGCCACATAAATGCTAGCTATTTCCAAGCAGGGAATTGGGAACCACTTGTTTCACGGTAGAGGCAGATTCCTATTCAAGTATGGGTAGGACCAAATGACTTGTCAGATCTCAGACAGCCATGAGATTATGTAATTCTGTTACTCCAGGTTCACAACGGAGTCAGGTCAATGGGGACCATATGTCACCTCTGTTCATGGTATTCAGGCCAGCAGTAAAAACAGAACCTACTGGCAGCTCCTGAGTAATCATCAACCACTGGACCAAGGTGAGCAAAGATGTGGCAGATAAAATAAAGAAGCAGAAAATTCTCCGAGCACTCGTACTTGGAATTCTGCAGTGTGCAAAGCTCTGTTTCTGGGGAGATTTTTTTTAATTAGAAAATGTCCCATGAAGTAAGGGCTTGTGGGGGTGGGTAAAATCTATGGCATTGCTCCTTTACTTGGAGACCCTAGCTTTCATCATCTGACTCAGTCTTCTCTCATTCCCCCCTACAGGAGCTGGGACCTTTGTAGTGTCTGATGGCGACAACCTGGAGGTCAGGCTGAGTCAATATTGAGGGAAGAGATATTGGAAGAGTCATCCAACTACAATATCCAACCTTTCTACCTGTGGAGTCCACCCTAGGATTCCTTGGAGAAATAGAAGACCCCTTGCCTTTCTCCTCACTCATCTCAGCCCCTTTGGGAGGCAGCTTTGTCCTTTCTCTCTCTCTCTCTCTCTCTCTCTCTCTCTCTCTCTCTCTCTCTCTCTCTCTCTCTCCCCTTACACAATAAAAATTCAACAGAATAATAGTGTCATCGACCATTTCTGCTAATAAGAGGGCTTTGGAAATCAAAGAAAGGAACTTTTGTCCAGCCACCATTAAGAGGGTCTAGGTAAAAAATGCCTGGTGTGGATATAAGTGCTTTAAAATACATAGTACTTCCTCTGCTTTATTTGTTCCTCACTGTGACCCTGTGGAATTAAGACAATGAATATTTATTAGTCCCATTTGGCAGATGAAGAAACTGAGGCCCAAAGAAGAAAAGTAAGTAAAGATCCTAAGATTTCAAGCCAGAAGAAATCTTTGGGAAAATCTAATCCAGTCTCCTCATTTGGCACATCAGGATGACAGAGGTTAAGTTGATGGGGTTCTCGCTCTCCCTCCAATTCCCTTTTGCTTAGTTCTCTGTGTACATGTTGTCTCCCCCAATCCAACGTAGCTTCCTTGAGGACAAGGGGAATTTCATTGCTTTCTTTGCATCCAGAGCGTCTTGCATTCATTCATTCATTCATTCATTCATTCATTCATTCATTCAATAAGCACTTATGAAGTGTACCAGGCCCTAGAGCTACACAGATGATTAAAAAAAATAAAAAATATAATATCAAGCATCTCTCTTCTTGTTTTATTTTTTGACATTAGTAAACCCAGATATTTTAGGACCAGAGGGCAAAGTAGAAGATGAAGTAGTCCACCAGTCACCTCCTGAAAGAAATACCAAAATGAAAAATACTGAGATTGTAGGCAAAATCCAGAGCTCACAAGTCAAGGAGACAATACAGCGAGTAGCCAGGAAGAAATCATTCAAATACCGTGTAGCTGTGGTCAGGATCATACAAGATTTAGCAGCTATCATGATAAATAGGCTTGGAATGTGATATTCCAGAAGGCAAAGGAACTAGAATAACAACCAAGAATAACTGAGCCAGCAAAACTGAGTGAGCAAAACTATTGGGGAAATGGACATTTAATGAAATGGAGGACTTTTCAAGTACTCTTGATTAAAAGATCAGAGCTAAATAGAAAATCTGACATTCAAACACAAGTCTCTAGAGAAGCACAAAAAGGTAAACATGGATGAGAAATCATAAGAGATTTAGCAAAGTTAAACTGTTTACATACCCAAATGGGAATAAGATACATGTAACCCCTAAGAACATTACCCATCATTAGGGTAGTTAGAAGTACTCTATTTAGAGGGCATGGCTTTGGGTCTATTATGGTAAATGATCTCAAAAGAAGAATGGAAGAGTGAGAAAGAGGGATGCATTTAGAAGACAGAAGAAGGGAGAGGAAGAATGAGGGAAATTATCTCACATAAAAGAAATGCTTAAGGAAGAGATTTACAATAGAGGGAAAAATAAATCGGGGAGCAAACAGCACTTCAACCTCACTCTCATCTGAACTCATTTAAGGAGGAAAAATAATATATACCAATGTAGTTGGGCATAGAAATTCATCTCACCCAACAGGGAAGCAGGAGAGAAAGAGGCTTAAAGAAAAGGGGTGGGGGAGTGATAAGAAGGTAGGTAGATTAAGAAAGGCAATCATCAGAGGCAAAACAGACGTTTGAAGAGGAGATGGTAAAAAAAAAAAAAGAGTAAATGAATAGAAGAGATAGGATGGAGAGAAATGCGCAGCAGATATAACTGTGAATGTGAACAGGATGAACACATTCACAAAAGGGAAGAGGAAAGCAGAATAGATTAGGAACCAGGATCCAACAATATGTTGTTTACAAGAGACACACTTGAAACAGAAAAATAAGTAGAGTTAAAATAAGGGGGCTGGAGCAGAGCCCTTTTTAAAGAACGGGGGAACAATCATGATCTCAGACAAAACAAAAGCAAAAATACATCTAATTAAAAGAGATATTAAGGGAAATTACGCTTTGCTAAAAGGTACCACAGACAATGAATTAATATCACTACTGAACATATATGCACTAAATACCAAAGCATCAAATTCTTGGAGGAAAAGTTAAATAAGTTATAGGAGGAAACAAGACAGCAAAACTATATTACTGGGGGACCTCAATTTTCTCTTTTCAGAACTAGATTAATCTGATCATAAAACAAACAAAAAAATACGGTAAGGAGATGAATAGAATTGTAGAAAAGTTAGATGGGATAGCCCTCTGGAGAATATTGAATGGGAATAGAAAGCTCCACCTATTTCTCAGCTCTGCATGGTACCTTCACAAAAACTGGCCGTGTATCAAGGTATAAAAACTTCACAAACAAATACAAAAAAAGCAGAAATGTTAAATGCACCCTTTTCAGACCATAGTGCAATAAAAATATATTCAATAAAGAGACTCTGAAGTATAGAATAAAAATTAATTGGAAGGGGCAGCTACACGGTGTAGTGGATACAGCACTGGTGCTGGAGTCAGGAGGACCTGAGTTCAAATCTGGCCTCAGACACATAACACTCACTAGCTGTATGACTCTGAGCAAGTCACTTAAACCCAATTGCTTTACCAAAAAACAAATAAATAAAAATTAATTGGAAACTAAATAATCTAATCCTACAGAATGAGTGGGTCAAAGAACAAAGCATAGAAGCAACTAATAATAGATGCCAACAATGAAACAACATACTAAAATTTGTGGGATGCAGCCAAAGCATGTTTTGTGGGAAAATTTATTTCTCTAAATCTGTATAGCAATGAAAGAGAGAAAGAGCAGACCAACGAATTAAGCAGGCAACTAAAATAAATCTAGAAAAAGAACAAATTTAAAATCCCCAATTAAATACCAAAATATAAATCTTAAAAATCAAAAAAGGGATTAACAAAATTGAAAGTAAAAAGTCATTGAACTGGTAAATAAAACTAGGAGGTGTTTTATGGGGGGAGGGGGAACAATAAAATAGGCAAGTCATTGGCTAATTTGATTTAAAAACAGAAGAGAAAACCGTATTACTAGTACAAAAGGGTGAATGGACAACCAACAAAGATGAAATTAGTGCAATTACAAGGATATATTTTGTCCAACTTTATGCCAATAAAACTGATCATCTAAATGAAATGAATGTTTACAAATACATGAATCGCCCAGATTAAGAGTAGAGGAAATAGAATACTTAACCCTATCTTAGAAAAAAGAAATTTAACAATCATAAATGAGCTCCTTGAGGAAAAAAACTATAAAAAAGGACTACATGGGCTTACAAGTAAATTCTACCAAAACATTTAAAGAACAATTAATTCTAATACCATATAAACTATTTTTAAGAATAAGTTAGAAAATAAAGGAGTTTACCAAATTCCTCATATGACACAAATATTGGTTTGATATCTAAACCAGGGAAAGCAAAAACAGAAAAAGTATAAACAAATATCCCTAATGAATATTGATGCAAAATGTTTTAAATAAAATCCTAGCAAGGAGATTACAACAATGCATCATGATGATCATGGCACTATGACCAGGTGGGATTTACACCAGAACTACAGGGTTGGTTCAATATTTGGAAAACTATAAGCATCATTGACCATATCAATAACAAAAACAACAAAAATCATATGATTATATGTCAAAAAGCTTTTGACAAAATACAACATGCATTCCTGTTATAAAAAAACAAGAATAAGCATTATTGTAAAGGAGATGTACTAAAAACCATTTCGACAAGAGCAGGCGTGAAGCAAGGATGTCCATTATCACCATTATCATTCAATATTGTACCAGAGATCTTAGCTACAGCAATAAGACAAGAAAAAGAAATTGAGGGGGCAGCTAGGTGGTGCAGTGGATAGAGCACCAGCCCTGTAGTCAGGAGCACCTGAGTTCAAATCTGACCTCAGACACTTGACACTTACTGGCTGTGTGACCCTGGGCAAGTCGCTTCACCCCACTGCCTAGCCAAAAAAAAAAATTGAAAGAATTAGAATAGGCAGCAAGGAAATAAAAATATCACTTTTTTGTAGATGATATACTCGGAGAACCCTAGAAAAATCAACAATAATAATATTAATAACTAGCAATTATATAGTACTTAAAGGTTTGCAAAGCACTTCATATGTTATCTCAATTAACGTTCACAATTCTGTGAAATAGATGCCATTATTATCCCTATTTTACAGATGAGGAAACTAAGGCTGAGAAAAGTTGAGTGATTTACCCAGGGTCACACAGTTGATAAGTGGCTAAGGTAGAAATTGAGCTTAGAATGGACATTATGTTGACTTACTTTGTTACTAGCTTATAATGACCTTGTTCTTACCTCAGACCACTCAGTGAATGAATTTTAATTTCTTATTTTGAAATGCCTTTTGAATTTCATTATCATTTGTAAACATTCTGATAAATGAAAGCTATTACAAAGTTTTTTGTTGTTTTCTTTGGGTTTTTTTAAAGCTCAAATAGTAAATTAGTTTTCTGGGAAGTCTGGTTTTGCAACCCGTCCCTGTTCCTTATCGCTGCCATTCTCCTCTTGTAGTTTACCCAGGTGTCATGTTAATGTTTCTGTCTCACTGCTGAGAGACCTTGCAAATACCTAGAATTTGTTGGCAGGAGTCACAATCTGCCAGCATTGGGGCTGACCCGCAGGAAGATTGTGAAGTAGGTGGTTTGTCTTTGCTACACTCCAACATCCCTTACGGCAGGTAAGGGACACACGCGGGTGTGTCCTTCATGCTCAGGTCATCGTGTGCAGTAGGACATCTCCTAAGAGAGGGGGACAGAAAAATCCCAAACTTCTCTGCCTTTTCCTTGAGATATTCCTAATGCTGCCTGTCCCAGATCTATCCGAAGAAAAGTTCATGTCCCTAGAGAATGACCATGGAGTTCGTGAGAGCAACAATGGTTAATGACCAAGTTTGTCCCTGGTAGAGGACATGCTACGTATGACTCATTAGAATCTCCTTACCTGACTTGGACATGCTGGCTGTGTGACTGTAAGCAGGCCACTTGTCTTCTCTGAGATTCAGGTTCCTCCTGGAAAAAGGGGGTAATCATGCCTAAAGCAAGTCTATAGGATTGTTGTGAAAGTTCAAAATGAGGCAGCACGCCCCAGGCAGGTCAAACCACCACCACCACCTTGACTGTCATCTTCCCTCAGACCTTGTTAGAAACAGACCAAGACCTTGAACCCAAGAATCTTGGAGATAGCTCCCCAACAAAGCACAAGACCTGCTTCTAGCCCAGCCCTCATTGTCATCATCAATGGGAGAAATCATCACTTTCCTCCTCATAAACATACACCACCATAAACAACCTCTGACCAACTGCCAACAACAATCAGACGGAGTAGCCTGAGAGGGGCAAACATCCCCTGACCACCGGTCCTGCTTCCAGCCACCATCCAGGGATGTCCCCACCCACTGCCAGGCTCGCTGCCACTCACACAACAGGCAGGCTGACCCGACCAAAGCAGCAGGGCTCTCTGGGGGAAAGACAGGAGAGAATATGTGGCCCATAGTTCAGAATACCGCCAGCCACCACCTTGAACAGCATCTCCCCTCAGACCCTGATGGAGAGAGCCCAGAGCCTTGGCAGTGGCCATGCTTCCAGCCCAGTGCCGTAGCCACGATCCTGGGAAGCCCCTGTGGAGACACTGCCTGTCAACCATCCCTGCAGGTGCTAATCACATATTCTGAAGACCCAGAAAAAAAAAAGTTCTTCCCACCAACGTCCTGGTTCAACATCAGAAACCGATACGATTTTGTCAGTTGAAAAGACTTTAAAGATGAGGCATTGACATCTGCTTTACCTCTGCACCCTAAGAACCACGCAACCTTTTGTCCAACCTGCAGCTGAAACCTCCCCGATGTGTTGTCCTCTCTATTAGAATGGGAGCTCCTTGAGGGCAGGCCCTATCTGACTTTCCTATTAATATCCCCAGCGCTTAACCCCGGGCTGGGCACCTGGTAAGGGTTTAATAAATGCTTTGTGTATTTACTCATTCAAAAGAGATCATGTGTATAAGGCACTTTGCAAACATTAAAACCGTATACAAATGTCCTACAAAAAGGCCACTAACACTCTCCTAGAAAGAACTATCTAACTTGGTGCACACCACCTGCCATCTCATGCCTTTCTGCTGGCTGTCCTCTGTACCTGGAATGCCTTCATCTCCACTTGATAGAATCCCTCACTTTTTTCATGATATAGCTGAAGCACCACTTTCCTCAAAATCCCTTTCTCAATTCCCCAAACTGGTGGCCCCCTTCCTTCTAAACTAACCCCCATCAAATTTGTATTTCTTCTGGTTTATTTGGAATATATTTGTATATGTATAGATAATTTTTCTGGTTACAATGGAAGCTCCTAACAAGTGGGAGTTTCATTCATTGTTTTGTAGTCCCAAAGCCCAGTGTGTGGTAGCGGCTCTATATTCAGTGGAGTTCAGATAGAAACTGTCCACAAGCTGCTATCACTGTTCTTCTTTGTTTGATGTCTGTCAAACATCATGTTGTTTTTGCCACTATCCACTTTGTTTTTCTATTCTTTTTTGATGAAGGTTTTTTATTTGTCCTCATATCTTCGATGATTCTCAGATGTCACTGTCCTGCTATTATTTTCTTATATTTAATGACCCACGAACTATTGTGCAGGCCGATAAGATGACTGCTTCTTGTAATTGAATAAAATTATTAGGAAATAAGCTCGTCTTCTACATACTCACTGCAAGCATCCACAGTACAACTCTAGCTGCAAGCACAATGCGTACATCAGTCTGTCCTCACACGACTTTTATTTCATTTGCTATTACTATTCTTGCTGTTATTATCATCTCGTCTTTCTCCTCTAGTTAGATAGCACTCATGGAGAAATGGCCCTGGGATAGATCTCCATCCTGCTGTGATTCTTTCAGTGCTGGATATTCTACAGACTATTGTGCAAACAGACAGAATAACTGCTTTTTGTCATTGAATAAAAGTGGCAGGACAGACACCCTTCCTCTCTCGGGTCAATGACTCCAGCAGGAGGCAAGATGACGGAACAGCAGGTACTTCAGCCTTCCTCCCCCTGGCTTTCGCTTCTTCCTTAGCTCGGGATTTTGAATGCTTTTCGTAGCTTGGAGATGATGAATATTAAACATGGCAACAACGATCAAAAATATAAGTCTTAAGTTGTAATGAATCGATACGACGTCTTGGCGATGGTGGAAAATGGTTTTGTCTGGGGTAACAATCTATCTCCAGGGGAGTTTATTTTGATATGCTGAGATTACTATCATTAGGTGATTGTTATTATCATCATGGTTATTATTATGATGAGGTTAATATTATTATTAGGCAACTGGGTTTTGTAGTGACTAGAATGTTGGACTTGGAATCAGGAAGACCTGAGTTCAAATTTTGCCTTAAATATTGTGTGACCCCGAGCAAGTCATTCAAGCTCTCTCAGTCTCAGTTTCTTCATCTATAAAATGGGGATAATAAAAGGTTATTGTGAGGAGCAAATGAGATAACAGATGTAAAGCACTTTGCAAACCTTAAAGAGAAATGTTAGTGGTTACTGTTGTTGTTGTTGTTTTATTGTTATTATTTACAACTCTGAAGAATCTTCTAAAGATGCCATGTCTATTGCCCAGATGTCTCTTTCCCAGGACAACTGCCAGAAAGTCACCTTGGAGGATCTGCAGAAGGTAAACACTGATAAGAATGCAAGAAAAGAATATCTGTTGAACAGAAGAGGTTGAAGGTCAGGGTACTCTAAAAGGCAACCATATAAAGGACAAAGCAAGGGAAGGGCCACTTTTGCTGAAACAGATGAATGGTAGATAGTCCTGCAGTAGAAGAGCCCCAAGAGAAGAGGAAGGAAGATGATCCTGTTTACAATCCCTCTCTGGAGCCTCCTCTGGGCTGTGAGTGGGGCCCACACGCTCACCAAGAGTGAATGCTGTGAGCATGGTCATCCCCTATTTGAAAATGGGGTTGGGGAGAGGGGAGATGAGAAATATCTGTTGACTGGGAGGCAGCTGAGAATGTGATCTTTGTATTTGTCCTGCATGTGTGTTCCCTTCTTCCCACCCCCCCACTCCTAGCAGAATGTAGGCTCCCTGAGGGGGGAGGTGAGGATCTTAGTAGTGGGAGAAATTGGAATATCTAGAGGGGCATTGTTGCAGAAATGAAAAGTCACTCTGGGATCCATGGCATCAGTGAAAGTGATGGTGGGAGAGGGGGAGCTGGGCCATGTCATTCCTGATGGATCGGGTCATGTGGCTTTGACGTCCTTCATGAAGGAGACAAAATAATCCATGGTATGAAATTTGTGGAGATGAGTCCACTGTCTTCCTGGAGCGGATGGGGAGTCTCTGTGGGGCACTTGATGAGGATTAATAAGTACAAGGTAGGATTTGATGCTGTTTGTTATACAGTGAAATGAGCACTAGTTCAGAGCTCAGAAGACCTGGATTCAGATCTTGCCTCTGACACTCGCCAGCTGTGCGAGCCAGCATAACTTAATGTTACTTAATGTCCAGGGGCCTCAGCTTCCTTAACTATAAAAAGAGAAGGTTGGAAATCTCTTCCAGTTCTTAAAAATGTGATCTTAACAAATAATCATATATTTCAAATTAATAGCAACACTTTATGACCCTATGACTTCCAAAAGTTTAGGAAAAGGAAATGGCAAACCACTCCAATATCTTTGCCAAGAAAACCCCAAATGGGGTCACAAAGAGTTAGATACGACTGAAACAACTGAATAACAATGATAAGGTCATGTTTGGAGCTGAGGTAACAGGCTAGGAAGAGACTTTCTCAAGGCCCTTAATAAAAGCTGTACAATATTCACTTCCCCTCAAAAATCACCACAATGATGACCACCTTTAGGGTGTCAGCCTACTGATTTAGGTAACCTTGTTGTTTGTGTTGATGTCAGCATGGTTGGCCATGAACATTTAAGATCCTTCCTGTTACTTAAGTCACTATTTCTTCAAAAATTGTGCATGTGCAAGTTTTGAATATACTTTGATAAATTGGTTCCCAGACATTTTATGTATTTTGTATGAATGCAGAGAGAGACACTTCCTTTTCTTTTTCTTCTGTCTGCACTGGTTGTTGCTACATATGCATGCTGTTGATTTTTGTGAGTTTATTTTTGTATCCCGCTACTTTGCTGAAACTATTCATTGTCTCAGTTCCTTACTTTGCTGATTCGCTAAGATCTTCTAAGTAAACATCTTAGGAAAGTGTGCTGGACTTTGAGCCAGAGAAGGTGAGCTTCAATCCCACTTACTACCTGTGTGACCCTGGGCAAGTCATTTAATGTCTCTGGGCCTCCATTTCTTCACCTATAAAATGAAGGAGTTAAAGGAGATGATCTCTAAGGTCCCTTTTAGCTCTCACTCTACAGTCTTATGATAATATGATCCTGTGTAAAATGTGTCTCTGGGAGGAAGAATCACCAGATGCTTGAGTAACTGCTTCTGGTTCCTAGCTATTCCTGCAGAAAAACAAGCCTTGGTGGATGATCTCCAAGATGTCATGGAGAGCTCTGTGACTCCATCCTCCTTTCCCAATCCCAGCATCCTGATTGCCATGAACCTGGTTGGGGCCCACAGTGCAGAGGCCCAGAAGCTCCTCACTGAAATCATCTTGTCCACTGACCTAAGAGGTAACACAAATTGGCAAGCTCCATGAAACTTTCAAAATTTCCAGTTTCATAAATCAACTGCAAAGAAAGCACTCTGGAAACCCCAGAGCTCTACAGAATGGGAGCTCTTTCTCCCTTCAGCTCTATTTTAGGTTCAAGTTCAAAAACCATCAGTGAAGGGCCCTTTCTATACAAAGTACACCTCTCACAAGTCATCACCTAGCTTCTGCTTGAATATCTCTGATGAAAGTAAAATCACTCCTTCATACAAGCTTGCCAGTTCCATTTTGGGACAGCTCTGAATAGTCGGATGTTCTCTCCCATAAGGAAACAAACTCCATTACCCACTGTTCCTAGCTCTGCCCTCTAGGACTATGTAGAATAATTCTAGGTTCATTTCCAGGAGGTATCAGGATCAAGTGGAAAGAATACTAACCCCAGAGTCAGGGTACCTGGTTTCAGATCCCAACTCTGATACTTCCTACCTGTGGGACCTTGTCACTCAACCTCCTTGGGTCTCAGTTTCTTCATCTGTAAAATGAGATTTTGGAGTAGATGACTTCTGAGTTATCTAGAGCTCTAAAGCTGTGATCCATGTGAAAACTCTTCAGATATTTAAACACATTTAAGTTTCCTCTTCTGTGGGCTAACCATTCCTCCTTCTAACCCTTCTAAGGCCCCTGAGGTACCTTGTGGTCATTTGCTTGAATGCATTTTCTGAATGGCAATGGCAATCTAGTTCTAACTTTGTTCTTTTTTCCATGAGAAAAGCCATTTCAGGGGCAGCTAGGTGGCGCAGTGAATAGAGCTCTGGCATTGGAATCAGGAGGACCCAAATTCAAATCCAGCCTCAGACACTTAACACTTACTAGCTATGGGACCCTGGGCAAGTCACTTAACCCCAATTGCCTCACCAAAAAAAAAGAAAGAAAGAAAAGAAAGAAAGAAAAGCCATTTCACAAATTTACTCTCTCTAAGGTAACCTCCCTAAGAAAAATCAAAGTTATCTGGATAAAATAAAAGTGAGCAATTTCCCTTCCCCAAAGTGGCTCTGGCCAAGAGGCTTTCATGTCTATGAATCATAGGGTGAGTTCTTATTCCTACCCCCTTGACTTCTCTGCAGATCTTACTATTGGCCAGCTGGCCCTCAACATCATGGCTCTCACCTCATCCTGCCAAGATCCTGGAAACAGACTCTCGATTCTGAAAAAGCAAATGGAGAATTGGGCATCTTCAAGTAAGAGGGGAGCTGAAGGGGGAGGAGGAGGAGGTGACCCTTCCCCTGGAACTCTAAACCCAGAGGAAGGGAATTGGGGAGGCAGGCAAGGAAAGAGAACATGACCTCCAATTTATTCCCTCCCTTTTTTTTCTAGAGATGATTACAAATCCTACCAGGTAATGGAAGGTTTGTCTACAGATTCCTCTCCTCCACAGAAAGTGGGAGGAGTCACTTAGGCATCTAGAGCCCTAGATGTGGAATGCAAATCTTGCTTCTGACAGTTATGAGCTGTGACCTCGGGCCGGGCTCCGGGTCTCAGTTTCCTTATCTACAAAATGTGAAGAGATAGGGATGCATTGTATCATTGAGGGATGTAGTATCCATGTGTCAATGGACACTGACACTACCTCTATCCACATCCATCACCTTCATATGCTCTAAGGAATTTAACCATTACCCACGCCTCTCCTTCCTCATTATAGATAGGCTTTCTGACAATCTCACACTAAAACACTTTCTCTGCCTCCTTTCCAAAAATAATCTCAGTCATCCAATCTGACCTCACTGGGACCCCATTTAATTTTTAGGCCCACAAGATCCATATTCAGTCTTCTATGGACCCAGCCTGGGACTCTTGGCTCTGTGCCAGAAGAACCAAGCGGGCACCTTGGAACTAGCCATCAAATTTTCCAAGATGTTGCTAGCCAATACCTCACGCTTCAACATGGGTGAGTGAAGGGTTGCTCCAAACCCTCCTGAGCTGCAAATGGGCTCATAGGAGGGAATGTACTAAATGACAACTCTGGGACCCAAAGGTAAGTAGCAACTAAGAGACGGGAGCAGAGGAGGAGCAGAGGTAATAGATGACCAAGTCCAATGTGTAGGATCTAGGGCAACCAGAGAGGATTGGTCCCAACTTGGGGCAAATCAAGTAATTAATTCACAAGCTTTTCTGAAGTCCCTGCTGTGTATACAGCACTTAGCTAGGCACTAGAGATACAAAGACACAGAATGAAATAATCCCTGCTCTTAACGAGCTTACATTCAGATGTGGGAAGTTGGGGGCAGCTAGGTGTCACATTGGATAGAGAACTAGCCCTGGAGTCAGAAGGACCTGAGCTCAAATCTGACCTCAGACACTTGACACTTACTAGCTGTGTGACCCTGGTCAGTTAACCCCATTGCCTAGCAAAAAAAAAAAAAGTGGGAAGTTTATTTCTCTATGTATATGTACATACATAAGATATATAAATAAATAGATATAAATATAGATATATATGCATACATATATACACATATGTATATACACACAAATATGTCTAAATATATATAGGATAACTATGAGAATAAATGCAAAGTAGTTAAGTAAAAGGTAGTTTGAGAGAGTCCTAAATCAAAAATAATCCCAGAAAAAATAATAAGTGATATGTATATAGCATCTCAAGATTTACAAGGTGCTCTTATTGCATTATCTTATTTATACCAATTCAACAAATATTTATTAAAGGCCTACTATGCACATGCAATCAGTCAGCAAGCATTTACTAAGCATCTACTATGTGCTGGGCTCTGTGCTTGATAATATGCATACGAAAAATAAAACAATCCACACAGAAGAAGCTTGCATTCTATCGGCAGAGACAAGTACACATGCAAGTGTTACACAGACTGATTACAAAGTAAACACAAGGTAGTGGGGCCAAGAACTCTAGTCAATAGAGAGAATCAGGGAGGGCTTCACACAGGTGGTGCTGAAGTTACATCTTGAAGGAGGAGGGGGATTCTATGAGGCAGATAGGAGGAAGGAACACATTCCAGGAATGGAGGATGGCCATTGCAAAGGCATGGCGATAAGAAATGGAAGGCTTGTGGAGAAGGAATTTCTTAAATGGCCAGTTTAACCAGATCGCAGAGTACAGGAAAGGGAATGATGTGGAGTAAGGCTGGAAGAATAAGTTGAGCAAAGGCTATGATCGTCTTTAAAAGCTAAATGGAGAGGTTTCTGTTTGATCCTAGAGGCAACAGGGAACCAGCCACTGGTATTCGAAAAAGAGACAGTCAGATCTATGCTTAAGGAAAAGAGCTTTGACAGCTGAATGGAGGATGGACTAGAATAGGAAAAGACAGGAGGCAAGGAGATCAATTAGAAGGCTATGGCAATAGTCTAGGTGAGATGCAATGAAGATCTGAACTAACATGATATCTGGGAATGAAGAAGGGGGTAAATATGAATGATATTGTAGAGGTAGAAATGATCTAGGCAACTATTTAGATTTGTGAGATGAGTAACTGTAAGGAACAGAGGAAAATGCAAAGGGTATAAACCTGGGAAACTAGGAGGATGGTGGTGCCTTTGCCAGAAATAGGGAAGCCTTGAAGAGGGGTGGGTTTGGTAATAATAAAATAACTTTTATTAAGCACCAACTATGCGTCAGGCATTGCAGTAAGTGCTTTCAAATATTATCTCATTGGATCTTTGCAACCCTGGGAGATAGGTGTTATTATAATCCCCATTTATAGTTGAGGAAACTGAGGCAAAAACCAAGGTTAAGATGCCAGGCCCAGTACTCTATCCATTATGCCACCTAGCAGCCTTTATAGATAAAGAGCTCTATTTTGGACATATTAAGCTTGAAACACCTTTGGAACATCCGGTTTGAAATGTTCACTATGCAGGTGGTATCCTAGCACTCAAGCTCTGGGGAGAGACTAGGGCTGGATATTTAGATCTGGAAGTCATATGCATAGGAACTGACTCAGTCACCAGCAGAATATGTGTAGAGAAAAGAGGGCCCCAGATAGAACATTAGGGAACATCTATAGTTAGGAAGCATGATATGGATGATGAGCCAGCAAAGAAGACTGAGACGGAATGATCATATAGAAAGATAAAAAGAACCAGGAAAGAGTAGTGTCAAAAAAGCCAGAAACTAGTCGAAAATAAGAGGGTAGTCAATAATGCCAATACTGCAGAGAGGTCAAGAAGGATGCAGAATGAGAAAAGATCATCAGATTTGGCCATTAAGAGATCATTGGTAATTTTTAAGAGACCAATTTCAGTTAAGAGTGAAGGTTGGATGACAGATTGCGAAAAGGGCTGAGGAGTGAGAGAGATTAAAAGAGTGTTTACAGTTTTTTCTAGGAGTTTGGCTGAAAAAGGGAGGAGAAATATGGAGTGGTAGCTTGAGAAGGTGGTAGGATAGGCCTAAGAAGGGTTTTTTCATGATGGAGAGCTTCGGGCATGTTGGAAGACAGTAGGGAAGGAACCAATACAAAGACATTGAAGGTAAGAGTGGAGAATAATAAAAAGGAAAACTGTTAAAGATGGAAAGCTATGGGATTAAGGGCACATGAAGACGGGGTGACCCTGACAAAGAGAAAGGCCACGTCATCATCAGACACTGGAGGAAAGGAGAAAAGAGATTGGCATGATGACAAAGGCTTTTGAAATAAAAGGAATGGGAGAAGAAAGAGTTCAAAGCAAATGGCCTCAATTTTCTCAACAAAGGCACAGGGAAAACAAAACCAAAAACAACAGTCCTGGCCCCCCAAAAATTTACATTCTACTTATTTGTCCATCATGATAACCTATAAGGTAGGTGCTACAGACTGTATTATGCTCATTTAATCAACCAATCAATCAGAAGGCCTTTATTTATCATGTTCCAAGCACTGGGATAGGCCCTAGGCATACAAAGACTAAATTAAAACAATTCCTGCCTTCATGTTGCTTACATTCTGTCAAGAAAGACAACGTGTAGCTATGTGCAAAGTGGATACAGATTGGATGCAAGGAAATTTGGGGGAAGAAGGCAAAAGCAGCTGGGAGGGGATGGCAATCAAGCAAGACTTCCTGTAGGAGACAGTCTGAGCTTTGAGGGAAAGTGGAGATTCCAAGAGGCAGAAGTAAGGAGGGATGGCATTCCAGGCATAGGGCATAGCCAATACAAATGCACAGAGATGGGAGATGGCACCTCTACGTGAGGAATGAAGAGAACCAGCTTGGCCAAAGCATAGAATGCATGAAGAGAAGTACTACGTAACAAAGCTAGAATGGTAGTTTCTGAAAGGCTTTAAATGCCAGAGATACTTATATTTGATCCTGGAGGTAGCAGGTACTGGGGTTGATTAAGTAAGGCAGTGACATGGTCAGATCTTCATTTTAGGAAAATCACTTTGGAAAATCAGATCACTTTGGCAGCTGTACTGAGAATGAATTGTACTAGGGAGAGGCTTGAGGCAGGGAGACTGATGCAGAGGCTATTGCAATAAGCCAGGTAAGAGGTGATTAGGACGTGGACTAGCTGTGTGAGTGGAGAAAGGAAGGGTGTTGGAAAGGAAGAAATAACAAGAATTGGAGCTGCCTGACATGTGGGACAAGTGAGGGCGAAAAGTTATTAATGGCTAGGACTGCGATGGCCTAGACAGAAAGAGGGAAGTTCAAAGGAGAGTAGGTTTGTAGGAAAAGATGAGTTCTGTTTTGTATGTGGTGGGTTTCGAATGTATACGGGAAGTCCAACTTGAAACGCCTGATGTTATAGGTGAGGAAATTGTGGCCCAGAAAGCTAAGAGATCCAACCATAGTCACACAGTGAGTAAGTTTCAGAGATGTAACTCAAGCTTGGGTCTCGATTGATTCTAAATCTGGAACTTTTCTGTAGGTACTACTTTGACTTTTAAGCAGAGTCAAGAGCAGAAGAGCATGGTGTAGACCAGGGGTGGGGAACCTCGAGGCCACATGTGGTTTCCCACTCCTGGTATAGACAATTAGCTAGGAGTCAGGAGAACTAAAATCTAGGCCCTATTCTGCCACTTACTATCTAGGTGACTCCCAGAGTGTCACAACCCCCACGGCCCTCATCTTCCTTATCTTCAATATTGTATCTCTCCAACACCCCTTCCAGGTCTTACCTTCAATGAAGCAAATGCACAACGGTGCCCACCCCTCCTCCAAGTCCCAAACAGTCTCCTGTTGGCAAGTGGCTCTTCTCTGAAGACCTAAGCCCCTGTTTTTCCTAGTTACAAAATGTTAAGGCTATCTAATTACTTCTCTGAACAAGTACATAACTATTTACAACCTCTCTCCCTATAAAACCATATCCTCCCCCTCTTTCTTTCATATAACACAAGACCCATCCCTTGTAAGGTCATCTCATGCTTTACTCCAACACTGAATTTGACCTTTAATCCTATTTGTCACCTACTGCCGTATCTCTGCCTCATCACTGACCTCCTTCATTCAAGTCTGAATTTCACAGACAGGCAGGCATTCCTTCTGTGCGTCTGTTCTGTAAACAGATGGGGGGAAAGATCCTTTTGGTCACTTTCACAGAAGGCCAGTTTTGGCCTGTAGAATCCATGCCCACCCACAAGCTTTTGGAGGGTTTGCCTGTCTCTCTGGTTAGTCAGCACGGTCCACTTCTAACTAAACTACACTTCAGCTTTCGGTTGGAGGGACAGATGTAGACTAGAAGACACACTGCTTGAAAGTGGGGATTGTTTCACTTCTGTCAATGTATCCCTGCTACTGGCTGTGTGACGCTGGGCAAGTCACTTAACCCCATTGCCTAGCCAAAAAAAAAATATTTTTTTAAATATTTTTAAAATATTAAAAAAAACATATTAGGCCTTCAAATACTTTAAGAGAGCCATCATGTTTCCCCATCTACCTGTCTTCTCGCTAAATCTAAGCTTCCTACTTCCTTCAACCAAGCTTCAGAAGACACGAACTCAAGATCCTTCTGGTTGCCTTGGACATTCTCCAGCATGCTGAATATATGTTGGTTGAATTGAATTGAATTGAATCTTGGCGTGACATTTTGCTAGGGCCATAATTTCCTTATCTTTTCAGGCCTGAACCTGCTTACTCATTCATTTAGTAAATCACCTGTTACTCCAAAGTACAATACCAGGCCCATAGCAGGAGCTTAATGATTCTTCCTTCCTTTCCATAACACTATGTACTATGAAGGTTGAAATATGAAATATTTATATTTATATGAAATGTGAAAATATTTAAGACATGTCTTGCCCCTTTGAGGAGTTTACCATCTAGTCAAGGGACAGTGCACAAGTAACTAATGAAATGCTGATAGTGACAATAGAGGTAAGAAGGATTCAGAGGAGAAGCAGATCACATCCAGCTCAGGTGAATGGAACAAGCTTCCTGGAAGATTCCATCGGGTGAATGTAAGCCCCCTGAGGCCAGGCACTGCCTCCTTCTTGTCTTTGCATCCCTAGTACCTAGCAGAGCACAGGCACTTAGCATACACTTACTGAATCAATAAAATTAATGAAGCCGATGCATTTGAGCAGTGACTTGCAGGATGAATAGACATTTGGGGAGGGGAGAAGAAGGGAGGAGAGAAGACACGGAGAGGGCATTCATGTGAACAGCAATCTGCATTCCCTACGTTCTTCAGATACTGGAGCTATGGCAACCTTGGCCCTGACTTGCGTTAGCAATATGATCCCTGGAGATCTGAACAATGACTACAATCAGTTATTTGGTCAAGTGTTAACAAGCGTTGTGGAGAATATCAGCAGCAGAATTGAAGACAATGGCCTCATCGGGGGATCTTACAGCACAGGCTTAGCCATGCAGGTAACCAATAAATGTCCACTGGGAAAACCCAAGCATTTGAAGATAGTCAACTGGGAAAATTTTAATAATGACTCCACCAATATCTAGCTGTGTGATATCCAATAATCCCTTCATTAAATCTCTTCTTTGGGGAGGCAGTGTGAGAAAATGTAAAAAGTACTGGCTCTCCAATCAAACTTCCAAGCCCATGACAATATCCACATGACCTTGGGCAAATCACTTCATTTTCATGGGCCTCCCTGTAAAATGAGGAGTTTGGACAAGGTGGCCTCCATCTCTAACTCTATGATCCTATGATCATTAATGTGTCTGACTCTGTTTTTCCCTTGGTCAAATGGGAGTAATGATGGTTGATTCTTCCCAACCTCACAGGATAGGAACAAGAGTTCTATGCAAAAAACAAAAGAGAGAGAGAGAGTGAGTGAGATTCCTTGAAAAAAAATGGTACAAAAATCTAAGGAGATATTGTTTTAGATTATAAAGATAATTATCATTCATTATCAGACATGGCTTAATGGCTCCCCCAGAAGGCCATGGACATCACTAGATTATAGGCTTACAGCTTTAAGGGAACTCAGAGGCCATGGAATTCAACTTCCTCATTTTACAGAAGAGACCATTGAGTCTAATGTGTAATAAGCACAGATATGATGCTGACTTAATTTGCTGCCAACCTATTAGTGACCCTTCTTCCACTGTAGACTGATCAGGAAATGTTGACTTTCATTCTTTGTCTTTGTTAATTAATCGTATTCTAGACTTCATCACCTGCTGTATACACTCTCAGAGTCACAGTAATTTCTGATAAAGGGCAAGCACTAATTCAAACACTGATAACCCACGTCACCTGCTTTTTTCAGGGGGTTGGTTACACAGCTGGGTCTTTCTTTTATTCGATAACCGCCACTATATCGATATTTACCCAGGAAGTTTGCAGTCTGAGGCTCAGGATCATAGGACTGTATATTCAGACCTCGAGGGTAAGCAAGTCCAACCTCATTATTTTACAGATGGAGAAACCAAGGCCTGGAGGTTTTGTCTGACTTTCCCAGCATCACACAAATAGTTCACGCATGAGAAGGGAGTCCCTAATGTCTAGTGGGATCTACTTAATGTCCTGAACTCTCTGACAGAAGTCTCATTTGCCAATCCCTGGTCAAATTTGGAAGCAGATGTTTGAGGTCAAGGACACTGGCAAAGAAAGGACAGCTGTACCGTACAGGTTTCTGGGCCATTCAGACGCCTGTTTATTCTGTGGTATAGCTACGTGGCATAGTGGGAGTCATGCAGACCCGAGCTTGAATACTGCCTCAGATACTAACAGTATGACCCTGGGCACATCACTTAATCTCTCCTAGCCTAGGTTTCCCCATATATAAAATAGTATATAATAGTAATATTATAGTAATAATAATATAATAGCATCTCCTTCAAAGGCCTAACAATAAGTGAGGATCAAATGAGATAACATATGTAAAAGTGTTTTGCAGATATTAAAGCACTGTGTAAATGTTTGCTATTATTAGCTAGACAATGTGGGGGGCGGCTTTTTAAAGGTATCAAACCACAGCCTCATAACTAATGTTGGTCATCAATTTGTTAGAAGCAAATCTAGATATGGGGATGAACACAGTGTGGACAGAGAGAGCGCACACACATTGTTTCAGTTTGAATAGCAATGAGAATTATTTGCATTGCATGCTTAGGAGTTTGAGAGGTGGTACAGACCAAGAGAGGTGGGTCAATAGGCCCTTGGGAAGTAAGCACAGTGGCTAGACAGAAGAAAGGATTTACAAATGGCATGGTAGAGAGTGAATGCTAGAGCCCAGTGCAGAGTTGGCCAGCCCCACCTGTGGCCTGAGCCTCAGTCTAAGAACTCCATTTAGGGGAAGGTGGGTCCCTGTGATAGCCACACGACGATTCTACCAAGAGAAAGACACCAAGGTCAAGTTTCCAACCTCGTTTGGTCTCATATGACTTATTGAAATTGATCTTCAAGTTCTCTTTTGGGAAGAAGAGTAGATGGAAAAGATGGCAGCTGAGGGTATAGAATAAGTGGGATGGTGACAACAGGTGAGGTTAGTTAATGACCTCCAACCCCCCTTACTGGATTCAAGACTCCTTTGGCTGTGTCAGCATGCCCAAGTAGCTCTGTTCCGGGTTCAACCAAGAAGGAAAGGCACAAAAGGGCCTGCTGTTCTTTGCCTTTTTCCCAGAAGACTAATATCATCCAAGTATCTTGACTGAGGTAGCATGGTTCAGAAAGACAAACACTGGCTACAAAATCAAAGGACATGGGTTTGAATCCCAGCTAATGGTGCTTACTTCCTCTGATGGGCCTCAGTTTCTACATTTGTAAAATGAGGGGGCTGGACTTCCAAGGTCCCTTCCAGCTCTCTAGTTATGATCCTCACTCTTAGAATCACCCTGCTTACCCTTAGTTATGCTCTAAAAGGTTCATCACCAGGTGGGTAATGGTGATTTTTTTTTCTTTTAGAGGAGGGGGAGGGGAGAGACTAATTCCAGAAATTCTAAACAACTATCTAGTAAGTCCTAGAGGGTCACAAACCTCATTGGTCTAGAGATTACCCATACTGACAAAATCATAGACCCTTAACACAATGGACTATCTCTATAAGAAAAGGTGGCATCACTAGAGGCCAAGTGTCTTTGAGAGTTGGGTTAGCTAGGTGGTACAGTGGATACAGTGCTAGGCCTGGAGTCAAGAAGACTCATCTTGCTGAGTTCAAATTGGCTTCAGACACTTATTAGCTGTGTGACTCTGGGCAAGTCATTTAAACCTGTTTGCCTCAGTTTCCTCATCTGGAAAATGAGCTAGAGAAGGAAATGGCACACCACTCCAGTATCTTTGCCAAGAAAACTCCAAATGGAGTCATAAAGAGTCAGATACAATTGAAAGGACTGAACAATAACAAATTTTTGCTAGTTAAACAATCACATCTGCCACTGACAATCCATGCTATGAAGGCATAGCACATGCTCTGTAGCTACTCTATCAACCCCAACTTGCACTGGCAAGCCACTGGCCTCTTTTCCCCTCAGGGTTCTAGGCATAACCCATGATGGGTTGGGAAGACAGTGGAATAGAGGGGTCTAGTACTGGTACGCATGAGCCCCCACCGGTGTGTTTCACTTATTGGTATCAATTAGCCAGCCAGATTTAATTTGCTTTTGGAAGCAAGTATTTACTAAAGTAGGATAATAAGAACAATTGGTACAAACATTCCCCGCTTCCAAAAAGGTAACATTCTTCCCAAGGACATAGAGTCTAGGGGAAAGTGAGCCCAAGCTTGAAGAGCACATGTGGCAAAGCTCTTGGTTACTGGAAGTCCTTTTCTCTTTCTGTGGAGCCCCTGTGAAGTTTCCCATGGGTGTATAGTGTAGCTTTCTACAAAGTTCTGAAGTTGCCTTTCCTCAATGTATCTAGTTTGTCCTTAGGCACTCATGAGATGTCCAAATCCTCCCATTCAGAGTTCACAAGGTCATGCTCTGGTCAAAAAGATGAGGGAGTAAACACTTAGACTCTTCTCTCCACCTCACTCCACAAGGAATTCCTTCTCAGGGGCTTAACTGGAATTGCTGGGTTGATACTCCAAGGCTGGGTTATGATCTGCTTGATATTTTACAAAAGATCCACAGGTTGTGATAGGGCATGCATTAGATTAACTCAAGTGCTTTATTGATTCAACAGAGATTTCTCACCTGATAACGGCATAATGGTTAGAGGATCTTGTAAATTACTTTAGGGTGGAGTGGAGCAATCCCCTCCCTTACAACTGGCTTATTAGTGCTCCCTATTACCCCTAGAATATTTTTCTGCCTTTCCCAGGCCCTTTCTGTGCAACCTGGAGAGAACTGGAACTGCAAGAAGACTATGGAAACAGTACTCAATGAGATTGAGCAGAACAGATTTGCTAACCCCATGTCCATCGCCCAGATCCTTCCTTCCTTGAAGGGCAAAACTTATTTAGATGTGCCCCATGTTATTTGTTCTACTGGTAAGCATGTCTTTAAAGATCCAAAGTTCTTCATAACAAGATTTAGGAGCTCCCCAACAGACATCAAGTCAGTGAGCCAAATGGCCTACTATGTGCCAGGTACTGTGCTAAGCTCTGAGGATACAGAGATTTTAAAGAAAAAATAAGTCCCTACTCTCAAGGAGCTCACAGTCTAACGATGTAGCTTACGTATGTTTTTAATAACACAACAGCCAACTACCTCCATCTACACCCTCCTCTCCTACTGAGATGCCCTGACATTTGCACACGTAGCAACACATCCCTGCAAGTGAAAAATCAATACGCTCCATATTGATCCTCCTCCTTGGAGAATCAGCCCCTACTGCATCAGCAGAACAAAAGGGGCAGAAACCACGTGGTAGCACAGGATGCATTCTTCAGGGTCCCCTCTAACCCAAAGAATCTTCAGGGCCCAGGTGACTCCTGTCTCCCTATTCCGTGTGTTGTTTCCCAAATCTTCGCAAGCTCTAAGGGGCCACAGGGTCTTTGTTAGAACATTCTGGGTGCCCCCTGGCCTATGCTCCCCCCCACGCCCGTGGGTTATTCTGAAACTTGATAGCTGAGTTTCTCACACTGTTGAGATGATTTTTCCTTGGTGTTTGTTTATAGGTCTACCTCTACAGTTGTCTAAGGAAGCTCTAGCTATGCCTCTAAAATTCCCTAAAGGGACAGGTCTCACATCCAGTTTGAATATTCTTTTAAAACAAAAGCATGGAGAAAGGCCAAAGGGGCTTCTACCAGACTTTCTGTGATGGTAGGAATAAAAACAAGAGTTTCCCCTGCCACACGACTTCATCAGAACCATTCAGAGGGCCCATCCAGGCATTGAACTGCCCGCCTCTTGAAGTTCTTTTGAATGAGATCCCAATGCCAGAAAAGGCATCGGCTCTGCACGTACAAGCTCTGCGATCTATCTTACAAAGCCCATCTCTTTACTCTCTGCAGGCCAGGAGGTGAGGCAAACTCTACAGAGACTCCCCAGTCCCCTCTCGACCTCAGCTTCTAATATCACCGTGACTTACACCATCAACAACCAGCTGAGGGGGGTGGAACTGAGCTTCAATGAAACGGAGATTGTCAGTGTGAAAAAAGGATCAGTCCTTCTCGTTGTTCTAGAAGAAGCCCAGCGCAAAAACCCAAAGTTCAAGTGAGTTACACCTGAAATACCCTCCAAGTGCCCAGGACACCATTTTCTTCTCTCATTTGTCATTCACTGGACAAGTTTGCATTTACTGTGCAACTTCTACCTAGCATTTAGCCTCTCCGGGCCTCAGTTTCCTCATTTGTAAAATGAAGAAGTTGGACTAGAGGGGCTCTGAGGCCCCTTCCTGTTTGAGGTCCATGACCCTCAATGTGCCCATGCCTCAGATTCCCCCTCAGGCAGATGGGGGTCGTGACGGTTGTCCTCTCCAGTCTCACAGGAGAGAAATGAGGATGTCTATATGAAACAGATTGAGCTACCTTGGGAGAAAGGTAATACAAAAATCCAAGGAAATGGTGATTTAGATGACAAAGATAATGTAGAGTCTCTTAGCATTCATTATGAGGGATTTAATGGTCACTCCAGGAGGTCCCTGGACATCCCTTCTTCATGCCAGCCAAGGATATGCTTTCTAATCATTTAGGATTATAGAACTATACTACAGGACTGTGCTAGGGTCTACAGAAAATACAAAAATTAAAAAAAAAAGATATGGTCCCACAATTGAGCTAGGGGCGTGAGCCCCGCATGGGGGAAACATGACATAATACAAGAAGGTAAATGAGCAAGGCCAAATGAGAGGACCCAAATGAGAACAAGAAAATCAGAGTACTTTGGAAGAAGGAAAGGCCACTGTGGGCTGGAGTGATCTAGAAAGGCTTCGTATACTAGGAAGGACTTGAGAAGAACCTTCAAAAATAACTCAGACTTAGGGAAAGGGGGAGGCCATTCCAGAAAGCGAAAGCATCACAGAATCTGGGTGGGAAGGAACTCAAAAGCCTATTCCAACTCATGCCATCATCATCATCATCATCACCATCATCACGCTAAAATAATAATAGATAATACTATGACAAGGTATTTGTCAGCATAGAAAAACTACAACACATCTGTGATTTAAAGAACTCCCAGGGAGTCGTCTGAGGCACATACGGTTTAAATGACTTCCCCGACATCATACAACTGTGAATGAATGAGTAAGTGACTGAGTGAAATAGCATCTGTAAGCATTTACTATGGACCAAGTAGGGCAACGAGGTGGCACAATGGTTGGAGCACCGGGCCTGGAGTCAGAAAGGCTCATCTTCTTGAGTTCAAATCTGGCCTCAGACACTTTCTACCTATATGACCCTGGGCAAGTCACTTAACCCTGTTTGCCTCAGTTTCCTCATCTGGAAAATGAGCTGGAGAAGGAAATGGCAAACCATTCCAGTATCTTTGCCAAGAAAACCCCAAATGGGGTCACAAAGAGTCAGACACAACTCAGTAACAACAAAAGGACAAAGGACCGTGCTAAGCACTGGAGATTAAAGTGATCTTAATTAGCTCAAATTCAGCTACAAGTCAGCTGGACTTGTCAAAAGTCATGGTCAAATCAAAAAGCCCTTATTAATGCCTACTATGTCACACATCAGGCCACGGTCCTTAGGATGCAGCAAGGAAGCAGATGATCATAAGAAATCATCTTTCATATCATTTTCACTGGTACAGTAGTCATAGTAGTAGATATACATACTATATGACTTTGCCTCAGATAATAATATGTCAATATAATATAAAGCAGAATGGAATAACAGGGTCAAAGATAGGTTGTTCCAAAAGTCGCAGTCCAGTTTTAAGCTACTAAAGCTGAGAACCACACTCAGACCTTGGGGACATCATGGTGCAGTGGAAAGAATGGGAATTTAGGACCGGAATTGACCCCCACCTCAAGTCACTTAACCTCTCTGAGACTCAGCTTCTTCACCCATAAAAGGAAGATCATCCTACTTTCAGTATCTCCCTCCTGGGATTGTTGTGAGAATCAACTAAGATAAACTAGGTAAAGTGTTTTGCAAACCTTAATGCACTATAACAACCTAACTCTTATCTTCACCATTTTGTTGTAGTTCAGTCATACCTGAATCTCCATGACCTCATTTGGGGTTTCCTTGGCAAAGATACTGGAGGGTTTGCCATTTCCTTCTCCAGCTCATTTGACAGATGAGAACTAGGGTAAATGAGGTGAAGTGACTTGTCCGGGTCACACATCTAGTAAGTGTCTGAGGCCACATTTGAACTCGGGAAGAGTAGTCTCCAGCTCAGTACACTATGGCACCACCTCGTGGTCCCAGAGACCCTTCCTATACGATGCAGTACCTCCACTCTATTTAGAACCCATCCGTGCTTCTTCAACTTCCTTACTGCCATAACTTAACCTGAGATGTTTAATCATCTGCGATTTTACCCTTACAGATTTGAATACAAAATGACGTCTTGGGGTCTTTATATCACCTCCATCAACAACATTAACGAAGTTGAAAACCACAGGACCTACTGGCAATTCCTGAGCGGCATAACTCTTTTGGACCAGGGTGGGTGAAGGCTAAAACCAGCGAGTATGAGAACAATCACAAAGGAGGACCGGCTGGGCCGGGAGGAGGGAGAGGGGAACAAATGGTCATCAGTTATTCACTGGGCTTATGGAAAATCCCCTGATATACTCCCATAACTGAGGTACCAGGTGGCAGAACCCAGGCCCAGGGTGTGTAGAAGAACACACTGGTTTTACCATCACTGGTACGTCCCAAAAGTGCTTACTTCACAATGATGTGATGTTCATTCCCCTTGAAAATACTGACTGTCCCAAAAGTCGTGGTTCAGTTTTAAGCCATTAAGAGCTGAAAACTACGCTAAGACTTTTGGATCCCCCTGTATAAAAGACATGGTCTTTGTGGGTTACAGAAAGTTTCTACCTCAACTCTTTCTCGGTTTTTTCCCTCCACAGGGGTCAGCTACTACATCCCCCATGACAATGAACACATCACAGCCAACTTTACACAGTACTAAGATGACATCCACACTCAACTTTTTATCAGCTTTTCATTGGGAAGAAATGGGACAGATTAATGTCAAAAATGTCTAGGTCATATGTGCACCTGCCCTACAAAGGTCAGCAATGATTACACAGAAATAAAAGATGCATCGAACAATCGCTTGAATTCCTATTTATTCTCTTTGGTTTCAGAGGGAAGCCTATGACTTGAAGACATAAATAATCCAGTTTCTCAGCTCTCATGGAAATTATTGGAAGTCATGATTTGAACTGAGGTCAGGGGAAAGGAATGAGACAAGAAGATACCTTCAGGGAGCCAGAGCATGCCATAATGGATAAGATACTGGACCTGGCATCAGGAAGACCTAGTTTCAAATCCCACTTGAGATACAGGGTCATAAAAATGGACCTCAGAGTTCATCTAGTTCAACTCCCACATCTTTCAGATAAGTAAATTGAGGCCCAGCAAGGTTAGGTAATTTGCCCAAGGTCATACAAGCAGGAAGTGTCAGAGTCAGCATTTGAAACCAGGTCTTATGACTCCAAATAAACCACTCTACCAATGTGAACCTAAGTAGGTTGGTTAATCTTTCTGAACCTCAATTCTCTCATCTGTAAAATGGGGATAATAATAGCACCTACTTCTCAGGGTTTTTGTGAGGATCAGATGAGATACTTGTAAAGTGCTCTGCAGACCTTAGTGCTAAATAAATGCAAGCTACTGGTATTATTGCTCTGCCAAATTCACTGTAAGTTAGAATGTGATGATATAATAAGAGAGGCATAAAATGCTTGCTTTATTAGTTAAGACAACTTAAGCACAAATAGAGAAGTGATGATATAGATACTAGAGGCAGCTGGGTGGCACAGCAGATAGTGAGCCGGACCTAGAGAGTTAGGAAGACCCGAGTTCAAATCTTGCCTCAGACATTTACTAGTTGTGTGGCCCTGGGCAAGTCACCTAACCTCTGTCTACCTCAGTTTCCTCATCTACAAAAAATAGATAATAATAGCACCTCCCTCCCAGAGTTGTCAGGATAAAATGGTATATTTTAAAACACTTGGCAAAGTTTAAAGTACTATATAATTGCTAGGTATTATTATTATCTCCCCCCCAAAAAAAAAAAAATACATACAATTTGCTTAGAACAATAAGGGTAGTGACTCTGCCAGCGTAAAGTTAAAAATGTAACAGCTGAATTTGGTGAGAGGAAGAGTGGAGGAGACCGTCCCGTCAGGACAAAAGAAAAAGGTTGTCACAAACACGTCCCTTTCTTAAGGACTCAGCTGGCCACTGTTGACAAAACCTGCTCATTTCTCTGACGGAATTTAGTCCTGTAATGCAGGACACCATGTTAGAGAAGATGTAAAATATTGTGATTCATGGCAAAAGACTGCCCCCTTATGGCGGTATGTTGTCCATTCCCTGTCTATGATTATGTGATGTCTTCTATAGAAAAATGTGATTGCACCCCCAGAGTTTACCAATTCTTTGCCCATATGCCCATAATATGGAAGCAAACTAAAGTCACCTTGCTCCCTCTTTAGAAATATTAAGAAGCATATTGCAATTATCCCAGTCTTAAAACTTCGGACTAATCTAAAAGAGAAGCCCTATGAGTCTTTCTCTAACTATGCATTTAGAAACAAAGCCCTATTTTCCTCTCTCTAGATCAGCCAAGGAGCAGCTCCTCCCTGAAGTGATTGGGATGGTGACTGGACAAAGGCAAAAACTCCTAGATTGGTTCACCTTGACCGGATTAAGATAATGAGAGTCACAGAAAATAGAGGTCTAAGTTACTTCAGGGGCAGCTAGATGGTGGAGTAGATAAGAGTGCAGGGCCTAGAGTCAGGAAGACTTCTCTTCTTGAGTTGAAATCCGGCCTCACTGACCTAGCTGTGTGACCCTGGGCAAGTCACTTAACTGTTTGCTTCAGTTTCCTCATCTGTAAAACGAGCTGGAAAAGGAAATGCTAAACCACTCCAGCATCTTTGCCAAGAAAACCCAGCCAAGAAAATCCAAAAGGAGTCATGAAGGATAGTACACGGCTGAAAAACAACTAAACAACAGCAACAATTACTTCAGTTAATAGAAATGTGGGGCAGCTAGATGGCACAGTGGATAGCGTACCAGGCCTGGAGTCTGGAAGACTCATCTTCATTGAGTGCAAATATGGCCTCAGATACTTACTAGCTGAATGACCCTGGGCAAGTCACTTAACCTCGTTTGCCTCAGTTTCTTTATCTGGAAAATGAGCTAGAGAAGGAAATGGCAAACCACTCCAGGATCTTTGCCAAGAAAATCCCAAATAGGGGTCACGGAGAGTTGGGCACAACTGTAAAATGACTGAATAACAATAAAAATGTCTCTTGAATTCACATTTAACCAACTAGAAAGGAAAATCCTTAAAGGGAATGGTCAACGAGGGATTGGCTTTTGGAAATATTATTTTCCAAAGGTGTGTCACACCAAAAGTTAATTGACTATTACTGCTTAATGAAGCAAATGTGTCCTCAACGTTACCCTGAGCACTATAACTATGTTTCATCTCATGGTGGAATTATCTGTTGTTTTGAAAATACCACTGTAACTCAAAAAAAGGCTTCGGAGAGATTTTTGGAGTCATGGGATAGTTCTGTCCATCTTTGATTCTCTAAGCAGAAATGCTTAAATTCAAATTGTTTCCGTAGACTTACAGCTAAAACTCAAGATTACAGAATTTTCTTCCATAATTGTAAGCATGTAACAAATGCTTTTTCACTCACTCATTCCAAGCAACCAATTAAGAGTAAGCTCAGCTTGGTCTGACAGAGAGAAAATAAACTTTAAAGTTGGTTAAAAAGATCTGGTACTAAAACATGGCTAAATGGGGAGGGGGGAGGGGAGGTGAAGCACTTAGGCCAAGGGCAATCCTTCTCACAACTGGATTTTGTATCAGGGTCCTTGGGGTTATGGCTGCCTTGCTTGTAAACAGCTTCTTAAATTGTCTGCATCCGTGCAGTTATCTTGCAGATAACTCTATCTTCAAAGGCCGACCTGAGAGCATGCTATTGTAATGACTTCCTCTAAACAGTACCCCAAAAATAAGTGTGGAGAAAAGATCTACATTCCAGAGGCAAAAAAGTGGTAGTGAATCAACTGATAAACATTTATTAAGTGCCTACTGTGTGCCGATCATTGTGCTAAGTACTGGGGAGACAAAAAGAGGCAAAAGACAGTCCCTGCCTTCAAGGAGCTTACAATCTAATGGGGGAGATAACAGGCAAAAAAAATACATATACAAGGCAAGTTATATACAGGATAAATAGGAAATAACTAAGAGAGAAGGAACTGGAATTAAGAAGGGTTAGGGAAGGTTTCCTGTAGACAGTGAAATGTTATTGGAACTTAAAGAAAGTCAGAGGGTTCAGTAGTTTGAGCAGAGGGAGAATGTTCCAGGGATGGGGATCGCCACTGAGAATTCCCCGGAGCTGAGGGATGGAGTGGCTTGTTCATGGAACAACCAGGAGGCTGGAATCATTGGATCAGAGTACTTGGTGAGCAGTAAGGTGTAAGAATAGAAAGGGACGGAGCAGCTTATGAAGGACTTTGGATGCCAAACAGCATTTTTATTTGATCCTTCAGGAAATGGAGCCATTGGAGTTTATTGAGTGTTGGGGGGGTGGGGGTGGGGAGTGACTTGGTCTGACTTGCACTTTAGGAAAATCACTCTAGTGGCTAAATGGAGGGTGAATGGGAGTGAGGAGAGACTAGGCAGGCAGACCACCCAGTAGGCTATTGCAATAATCCAGGTGTGAAGTGATGAGGGCTTGCACCAATGTGGTGGCAGTATCACAGGAAAGAAGGGGGCATATTTGAGAGATGTTGCAATAGCCTTTGATTGGGGGGCGGGGAGTGAAGAATCTAGGATGACTCCTAAGCTATGAGCCAAAGGGACCAGGGAGATGGTGTTGCCCTCTACAGTAATAGGGAAGGTTGTTGTTCAATTGTGTAGGACACTTCGTGACCCCATTTGGGCCTTTCTTGGCAAAGGTACTGGAGTGGTTTGTCATTTCCTTCTCTAGTTCATTTTACAGATGAGTGAAGTGACTTGTCCCGAGTCACATAGCTAGTGTCTGAGGCCAAATTTGAACTCGTCTTCCAGACTCCAGGCCGTGATCTATCTACTGTGCCACCGAGCTGCCTCCAAGGAAGACAGAGGTTAAGTGACTCGCCCAGCGTTACACAGCTAATAATTAGCTGAAATTGGATTTGAATTGAGATCTTCCTGGCTCCAGGGCAGGTATGCTATCTACCACACCACCTGCTAGGTGGCATGCTAGATAGCATACCTGCCCCAACAGGGAAGGTAAGAGGGTTGATAATGGTGAAGGGAGCTGGCAGCCAGCTGACTAGTATTTCCTTATGTGGGGACATTGGTGTCATTAACTCTAAGATTTCTGCAAGATGTGAATTAAATCCAAACCAAAGTCCCCTCACTTTGGGGCTGACTCAATAAATTGGAAGATTTATTCTAAGCCGTAGCAAGACATGCAGATAAAGAAGTATCAGGTCAAAAGATATTTATTGTAGAAAAATGTTCACCCTCAACCAGCAACAGTCAATCCCATTCTAGCATCGCTTGAATAAGCTCTGAGGTACCTTCCAAATCTAAAATCCTAAATCCACTACTCCTATGGTAAATCTCATTTGTCCATTACTCTACATCAGCCAAGGTCCAACCTAAACGAGATTAAAATGTAATTGGAAAATATTTAACAAAATGGATGAAAATACAATAATAGATAATGTTAATATGTGGTTTTCTAAGTCAATATGCACCTGCAAGGATTCCCATGTACCTTTTAGTGGACTATTTTTGAGACACTACCACTCTACATAGGAGGTAAATATAATTTGCTCTCTTCTGATCACATCTATCCCACACAAATCTATTACCAGAGTCCAGACTACTCAATAACCATTTATTAAGTGCCTACTACGTGCCAGGCACTATGCTAAGCACTGAGGACACAAAGGTAAAAAAGTCCCTGATCTCAAGTCACTCACAATCTAATGGAGGAAACACCACCAAATATTCACAAACAAGCTATAAAGGAAACAATCCAGAATGATTAACTTTTATTTCACAGACAGCTGAAAACCGTAATCACGCAAACCTCCATTTCAGCAGTTGAACTTCTTATTCTTTGCTTCTGAGGGAATGAGTAATGAAAAAGGGCGTGGAACGGGAGCCAGGAGCCCCAGGTTGTAGCGCTGGCTCACCACTTTTGGGGTGATCTTGGGCGAGTAGCCTAACCTTTCTGATCTGTTTAGACCTATCTCAAAGCCTCTGCAGCATGTCAGAGCCTTGCACAGCACAGCATTCGGAGTCAGTACCCTCCAGGCTATGACGAGGCACTGGAGGACGTAAGCAGAAAAGTACTTTAAGGATCTTTAACTCGTCAGTGTGGGCACGTCCTTCACGAATGCCGATCACAACCCCTCTATAACTTCGTAGCTGGTTCCTGACAGAGCAGTCGGTGAGAAGCTTCTCCAAACTTTAACTAGCCTAGTCATAAGACAATAGGCGTGGACTGTTCCTGAAGGCTTTCCAGTTCGGCAGGACCCCTGAGCCAAAGGTCCAGTCCTACTGTCTGTCTAACGACGTAGAGTCAAAAGACCTGGGCTGAATAGGAATTTTAGTCCTATTCCTTATTACGCACGGGATCAGGCTCCTAGACTCCATTCAATGACAGCACAGCGTGAGGAAGGGACGGGAGCTGTTCAAGGAAAAGGGGCGGATGGAGGACGGGAACAGGGAAAAGCCTTTTTCCTTGACTCCCTGGGTCACAGACCTACAGCCCGAGGGGTCCTTGGCAGTCATGGCCACCTGCCCCACCCCCATTTTACAGATAAGGAAACTGAGGACCAAAAAGGTTAAGTGACTCGCCCAAAGTCACCAAAGTAGTACATGGAAGAAAGGGACTTTAATTCAGATCCTCTCGCTCCAAACTTAAAGGAGCGCTCATTGGTCAGTCAGCCTCGCCCCTTTGCAGAATAGGAACCTGAGGCCCGGAGGTGGGCAGTGACCGGCCCAAAGTCACTAATGGTCAGGAAATAAGGCGAGGGGGAGCAATTCTGAGGCCCGAGGGCTCGGAATCCGGCAAGGCTGAGAGGAGAGGAGCGAGAAAAAACCGTCAGGGGGGCCGGAGGTCTGAGGCCGCCAGGCCCAGACACCGCCGGGCAGCCCCAGGCCGGAATGACGGAACAGACGCCCAGAGCGTTCAGCTAAGGCCAACTGCGCAGACGCCCGGAAAAGCTCAACTGCCGAGACTCTACGCAGGACGGCCCAGGTTCCCGCCCCTTCCGCCCGGTCCACCAATCAGACGCGATGTGTTCCCTCGACCCCGGGAAGCGAGCTCCAATTGGAGCAAAAGAAACTGAAAGGGGCGGGGCGATGACGTAATTCCGGTCTGTCATGGCGGCGCCCTGAGAAGCGGCTGACGTCCGGCGGTCTCTTCCCGGCTCTCGCCGCACGTTTTTTCTTGTCTTCGGTGACCCCGGCGGACCCCGGCCCGCAACCATGTGGAGGCTGGTGGCGCGCGCCGGCACTCCGGTCCTGAGCGTGCTCCCTTCAGGTCAGGCGTCCTCCCCGGCTTCTCAGACCCGCTTAGGCCTGCCGCGTCCGCTCCCCTCCCCCACATCCCTCCGCGGCCCCTCCTCCCCCATCCCAGCTCTGCTGAGCGCCGAGCGCCGAGTTCTGCCTGTGAGTGTGTAGGGCCGGGAGTTCGAATCCCGCTTCCGATGCTCCCGAGCTGCGTCACCCTGGGCAAGGCGTTTAGACTCTCTGTCCCGTCTGTGAAATGGGGCCGACAGCGCCCGCGACCGCCCGCCCCCGAGAGTTGGGGTCAGCCATGATTGGGATAACCTGACCTTGGGCAACTCCCCACCTCCTCGGGCATCTGCCATCTGTGAATTCAGTTCGTGGGGGGAAGGGCTGGGCTAGACAATAACAGTAGCCGCGTGTGAATGAGTGAACAAGCATTTTTAAGTGCTTACTGTTTACCAAGGCCTGGCGAGATAGTTTCTGGCCTCAGGGAGCTTCCATTCCAAGACGGAGACGTGGCACTTGTACCAGAGTTAAACTGTGCGCCCTGAGCCTTCGAGGGGCTCACAAAGCAGCCCCCGGGTGGGAAATAGCCCCAGGGCTCCCATCAGCACCTGGCAGGTGAGGAAACTGAGGCAGCTCTCACCGTTGGTTTCGTTTGGGGAGTGGGAGTTGAAGCTGTGCTTGGTTTCTAAGGTCGTTGTAGCTCCCTTCTAGGATGCTAGAGAAGAAGAATGGGGAAGGGGACACCCCACATGGAAGGTTCCTAGCCTTTTCTGTGTCCTGGATTCCTTTGGCAGTTAGTGGAAGCCTGTGGACCTCTTCTCAGAATCATGTTTGTGAGTGTATAAAGTGAAATGCATTGGGTTACAGAGGAAACCAGTTATATTGAAACACCGGTAGTGAATTTTTAAAAACACATTCACAGACCTCGGCCTAAGAACACTGCCCTGTGAAGTAGTGAGCTTCTTGTCATTGGAAGTGTTTAAGCCTCAAATAAAAAGATGGTGACTTCTAGGACATTAGTCTCAGTTTCATCCATAAAGCCAAGTCTGCTTTTCCTTCAACATGGCATATTCAAAGAGAGATCACATTCAATTCTGCAACATCGGTGAATTCCTTTCCCTCAGCGGAACATTCCCACTCCTCCAGCCAATGGTCATGATACCGTGCTTGTAGACGAAGGATCATCTGTGAGGCAGGTGGCAGGAAGGGTCAGCGTCTATGCTCCAGGCCCAGAGATTGCCCCTTCTCCCCAGGGTTTTGAGCTAGCACCATCCAGGCTCCCAAATTCTGGTCATCGTGTGTGTTTCTCCCTGTCATTTCTCAGTCCATTGTCCAATGGTTTGGCTTTTCAGGTCCTGGGGCTGCCCAACCCCTCAGTGTTGGCATGAAGACTTTCCTCCCAGTACCAACCTATGAAGGTGAGAGATCTTAATCTCTAGTTAATCTCAGTCTTATTTCCCCAGCTGGTACTAGGCTCACCAGTAAGTGCTGTTGTTTGGAGGGTGGGGAGAACCCGTAATGGCAGAGACAGTCATATACTATATATCCCCAAAACATAGCCCCTAGTTGTGCTGGGCGCATGGTTGGACTCTCGCTTCTTAGATGGAGCAACAAAGTCCAATCCATCAAGCATTTATTAAGCAATTCCTCTGGGTTTGGCGCTGTGCTGTGCTGAGCACTGAGCGTACAGAAACAAAGCACACGCAAAGATTCTTGCCTTTGAGAAGCTTACATTGTCCTGGCCATTTTTAGGCCCGGCCATTTTACAAAGTCCAAATATGGCTGCCACGCTCGGATTATAGTTTGATGGGTTTAGTGCAGGCCTGCGCAACATCACCAACTGTGGCATGATCGGCTTGCAATCCGCCAAAGGATTTTGGGCAGCCTTCAAAAATGCAAATCCCTCAGCAAAACTGACTATGCAAAGTTCCCTTAGGGCAGGCCTGCACAACATCCTGCCCACACTGGTCTAGTGGCTGCCATAGACCCAAGGAAGAGATATGAGAATACTCCTCCTCTGCTCCTTTTTAAGAGGCAGTGATCCACAGGTGCAGAATATTGTGTAATTCTTTGTTATAAGGGATTGGTCTCTAGAGGAGGCAACGTGAAAACAAGAGATACTAATGAAAATCTATTTTTTAATGCCTTAGCCAACATGCATACGTTAGGGTCTACAATTTCACCAGTATGGCCACTGCCTCCTCCAATCCAGGTGGCAGTCTCTGCCCACTTTATAAAAGATGTTTGCCATGGCCAAAAAATTGTGGTGAGCCTCACCCATACTCAAGGCCTTTCTAGCTTGAGTAGGACCTCCTCTCATTTAAGCTGTGTGGACATAACCTTCAAGATCCCCAAGTCTTCTCAGTGCTGAAATGAAGCATTGGAGGATTCTGAGCACATAGGAAGAGACTTTTCCTTCCTTTTTATAGCTACTGACTTATAACCTCCCTCAATGAAGCTTTATGCCTGGAGGTCTGTGCTCCTTAATGACTTGTAGGCCCACCCTCTGCTAACTGCTCTTTTCCTCAGGCGTTTCTATTCCCGATAAGCCCAAACTCAAGTTTGTCGATCGGATGCCACTTGTGCCAAAGGTGAGGCGGGAGCCTAAGAACTTGAGTGACATCCGAGGGCCGTCCACTGAAGCCACCGACTTCACCGAGGGTAATTTTGGTATCCTGGTGAGTGAGCCAAGAAATCAGCAGCTGGGGAAATAGGGGCCCAGAGTGGTGTTGATAGGTCAGGTCATGAGCCTCGGCTGAGCTAATTCCAATTTCCTCTGCTAGAACACAACGCTCCCCTCTCCTGTGTGCCTCCTGATTCATTCTCATCTCAGCTCAGATCCCACCCTCTGCAAGAAACCTTCCCTGATCTCTCTTAATGCTTGTGCCATCCTTTTGAGATTACCACCACACTCCCCTCTCCATTGTCAAACATACAAATTAAAATGTGAATCTAGTCCAGGGCAGGGACTGTTTTTGCCTTTGGTATCCCCGTGCCTGGCACTTAGTACGTACTTAATAAGTGCTGGTGGGTGGTTGTTCTACCAGAGTGAAGGATGTGCTAAGTAGGCGGCCACGTGTGGTGGCTTACAGAGGGAGCTACAATGAAAAATGCTTTTTAATATGACTTTTTCCAAATGCACATATTTTCAGTGCCCAAAATTCCCACCATTTGTAGCACATGGGTATCTGTTCAGGGTTTTATCAGTTGAGTCCTGGGTGGTAGACAATTCATATCTATCCTCAGACACATTCTAGCTCTGGACAAGTAACTTAATCTCTGCCCCAATTCCTCAGCTGTAAAAAATGAAGATTATAATAGCACCTATCTCCCAGGGTTTGTGAGGATCAAATGAGATAACACTGTGTCCGGCACGTAGTAGGCACTTTATGCTTATTCCCTTCCTTTTCATAAGGAGCTCACTTCCATATCTCACCTTCTACTGTGCACACAAATACTTTATCTCAACACTGTCCTCTTGCATAATTTGGACCAGAGTTGCTTCCACTTAGCTGGGTCGGCATCATGCCTCACCCAGAGTAGGTGCTTAACAGATATTTTTGGTTTTGAATATAAGTTCTTCTCATTGCCTGTACATCTTCTAGTAGAAAAACAAGTGAGGAGGAGACAAACCCCAGAGCAGGAACAGATGAGAGGAGTAAGGGAATCAACTCCACTGTAATGAAATGTTGGTTGCTTTTGCCTCTTTGCCCCCCCAGTAGCATCTGGGGCAAAGTTGTCATGGGGGTGTTTCTTGTTGAAAGCCTTTCACACTCTTGCTCCAGCCTAATTCTAGTGTAACTTCCTGCTGTCTCCACACTCCCATGAACTTTCTATCGAAGCCAAACAAGCTTATTTGCTGTTACCCCCACACCTCCCTTGTCTCTATGACTTTGCATAAACTGTCCCATTTTCCTGGAATGCTCTCCCTCCTTTGCCTTTTGGAAACCTATATCCTTTCACTGTCCCCTTAGGAGAGACCTTTCCCAATTCCCCCAGCTGTTAGTGCCCCCTCCTGAAATTCCTTTGTATTTTTTTCTGTACATGTTGCATGTTCCCAGTAGAATGTAAGCTGCTTGAGGTCAGAGATTATCAATTTTGCCTTTGAATCCGTAACACAACATAGTGCCTGCCTCATACTAGGTGCTTAAAGTATGCTGATTGTTTTTCTAACTCCTGACTCTTTTTCAGGCACTAGGTGGCGGTTATCTCCGCTGGGGCCATTTTGAAATGATGCGCTTGACAATCAACCGTGCCTTAGACACCAAGAACATGTTTGCCATCTGGCGTGTCCCTGGCCCTTACAAGCCCATCACCCGCAAGGGCATGGGCCAGCGTATGGGGGGTGGTAAAGGTGCCATTGACCACTACGTGACAGCAGTCAAGGCCGGTCGCCTTATTGTGGAGGTGGGTGGCCGCTGTGAGTTTGGCGAGGTAGAACCCTTCCTCAAGCAGGTGGCACACAAGCTGCCCTTCCCAGCCAAGGCCGTGAGCCGAGAGTCTCTGGAAAAGATGCGCAAGGAGCAGAGGGAGAGAGAGCTCAACAACCAGAACCCCTGGACCTTTGAGCGCATTGTCACTGCCAACATGCTGGGACTAAGGAAGGTGGTGAGCCCCTATGACCTGACCCAGAAGGGGCGCTACTGGGGCAAGTTCTTCCTGCCTGAGCGTGTCTAGTGACAGCGAGGGGAAGAGAGCAAGTTTTGAGAGAAGCGGCCCCACCTCTTGCCTGCAGCTTCTCCCTAGAAACTTCTCAGCACCCCCAGATGACTGAGGATCTCTGCAAAGCACTGGGATGAGAAGAACCATAGTGTGCATCACGGAGCGTTAAATAGTTGGTTCTGCAGAAGTCTTGGCCCCTTTAAAGGACTCTAGAAACACCTAAATGACTTCTTTTTGTCCTTGCCTCAGAGCCAGGGAGACCTGGATTTAGTTCTTCCCCCTAATACACACTAACTTTGTGACTCCAGGCAAGACATTAAACTGCTGCATGCTCTTGGCAGCTAGAAGACATGCTGACCTGCACTGGTAATGGGAGTTTCTTCACCAAAAAGGAATCCTTATCCCAGGAGTCTTTAGATCTGTTTTTGTAAGTCTTGGACCATTTTGGAATTCACAGGCCCCAGGTCAAGAACCTCTGCCCTGTTTTCCTTATCCTGTGAGATCATCGGTGTGGGGGGGACTTCCAGTGTGGAAATTCCCTTCCACTGATGCAGCTTAATAAATTTTCTGTAATTTATAGTCATAAAAAGTTGTCTGGGACACAGAGGTTGACACTGAGTCAGTAAACATTTATTAAGCACCTCCCTTGTGCCAGAGACTCTGCTAAGCACTGGGGATGCAAAGAAGACAGTCTCTGACCTTCCCATGGTTGTCCAGCTGTTGTTTGTACTTTTTTTTTTTTAAGAGGACCATGACATCAGGCAGGTGATGCCATGACGTGCAGGTGAATTGGATTTAAGTGAAGGAGGGCTTTGCAAAGTCACCAGCCTCACGGTTGCCCAGCTAGCGTGTCAGAGGCAGGATTGAAACCTGGCTCTTCCTGACGCAAAGGCCAGCCCTCTGTCCGCTCTGGCACCCTCTGCCTCTGTACATCAGTGACTCAGAGAGGGAGTGGTAAAGCAAAGGTAAAGGTGTAAGTCATCAGGAGAGAAAATGTTAAGAGGAACAAAACACAAACCCACCCTTCACCTTTACCCCACCCTTCCCCATGCCTTTCATTGGTCTTCAGATTCATGGAATATCCACTTCTCCTGTCCCCATATACAAGCCTTGGACACAGCTGTCTTCACTCAATGTGACTTTATTTGTTAAATTCACATACTCACTTGACAACTGTATTTTTAATACAGCAACAGAGAAATTGTAATCAGGATCTAGACTTCCTCTATCCAGGCCACATTGCCCACTAGTCCTAGACTTGATCTCAGTGAGACAGAACAGAAAAGCCAGGAGCACTGAAAATCTTCAAAGAGCTGATAGCAGGGTTAAACATTTGTGTGACTGTATCTAACCCTGGTATCAGCTCCTTTTTGTAATACTCTAAGCTACCCTCTTAGACTCTAAGCTCTTTGTGGACACTCTGTAGTCATATACAACCATTTCTAATTCTCCCATCTTCCATCACTTAGCACAGTGCAAACATAGTCACAATGTTTGTGACTCAAAGCCTGCAATTCTATGTGGTATCACTGGCAACTCCTGCCTTTCTGCCTGTAGCACCCCACCACCACCACCACCCTGTGATTCAGGGGCTGAGTGAACACTCTCTTTACCTTCCCCCTCTCCCGGAGCTAAAGGAGTTCAGAATCAGTAGAATTACATGCAGAACCACTCCCCTCTCTTCTAAATGTAAGCAGGAGGAAAGAACAGCACGTTCAATGTAGATGGCACAAATCTGAATTTAAGTGCCCAACTTTCAGATTCTGAAAACTTCAAAGTGGATGCCACAGTAGAGGAAAGTTTAGGACCTTAGAGAGCATTTAGTCTACCCCCTTGTTTTACAAATGAGGAAATAGGTTGTTAAATGATTTCTCATGGTTGCACATCCACTGTTTGACAGGATTTGAACCCAGATCTCCCTGAGGCCAAGTCCAGTACGCTGTCCCCACCACCCAATTAGCTCACTTAAGCCTCAGATACACTTAAGTTGTGTACAAGTTCTGTTCCTAGAACAGCAGATGACCTTTTTACAAAAACGCACAAGGGCAGCTCCTTAAAGTATCCTGCATTGTATCCTTTCATAATATAAACAGTCACATTTCAGTGAATCACAATAAGCTTGAAGCCTCGGCTCTATTCTGGAGGATCTGGGGACAGAAGTGGGAACCAAATGCTTTCTATCACCACACACCAAATTGCTGGTCAGCAAGGTCAAGTTTTGTTGCCAACAGGGAAATGGTTGAAACACAAGTTGTAGGGAGAAGTGAAGAACCAGCATCTTCATCTGTCCATCACCTAACAACTGGGTCCTAATTAGATGGAGCCAAGTAATGGGCCAAGAACAGTGCCTGGCTTTGGAGTCAGGACCTGGCCAGAAATCCTGCCTCTGCTGCTTAAGAAACTGGGTGGTCGCTAAGATCCCCTACAGCTCTGAATCTATGAAACTAATTGAATCAGCACTTGAAGAGAGAGAGGATGAATGTAATCTTTCTCAATAAGCTTTTTGGGACTCAAAAGGCAAATTGACTCATTATTTTGAATATCCAAAACCCAAATGTTTACAAACTAAAATAGGCCCTTAGAGGCTGTGTGACCCAGGACAAGTTACTTCACCACCCAGCCTCAATTTCCTCATCCGAAAATAAGGTGTTTGGATTGGATATTTTGCCTCAGGTCTACAATCCCATTCTCTCAGTAGTCTGTAGCTGGCATTCTCGACCATGTTGCCAACAAAACCCGAGGTATGAGTTCAATCTCAGTATAAGCTGGTTTATTTTGCTGTGTTCTGTACTTACTGAAATTTGGTGTTTTCTTTACTAAGGTCCTGCCATTCAGTCTTATCCAACTCCTCATGACCCCATTTAGGATTTTCTTGGCAGATACTGGAGTGGTTAACCATTTCCTTCTCTAGCTCATTTTACAGATGAGGAAACTGAGGCAAACAGTTATGTGACTTGCCCAGGGTGACACAGCTAGCGTCTGAAGCCAGATTTGAACTCAGGAAGCCAAGCTGTCCGGGCTCCAGGCCCAGGCATTTGGCCACTTAGCTGCCCATGTACTAAAAAGCCCTACCCCACCAGTAACCAACCATTTTCTAAAAGGGCTATTAGTCACAAGGGGGTGCCGTAGGATTATAGATCACAGTTTCATAAGGTCATAGCTGGAGGAGACATCAGAGGCGAATCTAGTCCAATTTGCTGTCCCCCCATTTTACAAATGAGGAAACAGATCCAGAAAGGTCATAACTTGCCCAAGATCACACACTAGTAAGTTTCTGACAGGATTCAAACCTACTTGTTTCTGACTTCCAAGCTTTCATTCTATCCAATCACCACACTATCCAGCAAGATGTCATTGTAGATTAGTGTAAATCCATCACCCTTAGGAAAAGGGTGCACCCCCCTTCAGATGTGGGTTTGGTTCGGTGACGTGCTTTTTGATACTAAGGAACACCATATTCCCAGTTAACTAAATAGTAAAGCCATCACCCTAACACTGCCTCAACAACATGAAAGATTGAAACTCAGTTTCTTCATCTTCTAGATTGGCTCGGGGGCATACTTCGCTAATCCGAAAATAGAGTGGGCTGCAAATACCACTTTGTAAAGAATTTCTTCTATTCAACTCACATTATTAACTGGAACAAGTGGGCCCTGGGAAAGAGGTAGAAGATAGTGAGAGGAGGTTAATAATTACCCTAAACAGAATTAACCAAGATTGATCATACATAGATCAAGAGCTGGAAGGGGCCTCAGAGGACTTCATTTTATAAATGAGTAAGCTGAGCTCCAAGAAAGTAGCAATTTGCCCAAGGTCACCAGTAGCAACTCTTTCCATGGTATCAAGGTCCTCTGGAAGTTGGAGCTGTTGTGAAGGCCTGCATTTGACCCAAATTGTAAAAGGTGTATAGCCCATATAGCTATCCAGATTCCTGTCTGATGCCCTTTCTTTTTGAGCCTAACTGCCTATCCCTCCCACTAATCATTTACACTATTAACTCCTATTCTTCAACCAACTTGATTCACTTTTCCCTCAACCCCCCTGCCCACCAGTTCCCCATGTGGAGTCCCATGGGTTTCTGAACCCTGGCCCTCCATGCTTCTAAGAGGATATAAAATGAAAAGGTAGGCATCGGGCTGGTGGTTGTCCAGTGCCGACAACTGGGACTTCTCAAAGGAGAGGTGAAGTAGCCAAGAAATCTGCAATGGAGGCGTGGCACCGCCAGGTTGAAAAGAGGAACTGAAATGTTAATCCAGGATCCATCTAGAAAAAAGAAAGTAGCAAAGATGGTGGGAAAGATCACAAAACACAAAAGCAATGTCAGCCAATATTATTAACTCCCCATTGTGTAGGATTGATTTAATAACACTTTGTTCTCAATCCTATGAAATGTCCGTCAATGAGAATCTTTTTCTGGCAAAAATTAAAATGCCATCTTGGGTCTACCTCAGGTCTTTCTTCCTAAGAGTTCAAAGTACTTCCCAGAGTTGACCACCTCTCCTCTTGCCTTTCCTTTTTGATGAGGAAGTAAATACTACCCTCCCCTGCCAGGTTTGAATGTTTCCCCTCAGGAGAAAGTAAGCAGCTTGAGGACAGGAATTGCTTTCACTTTTGTCCCCCCACCCCCACCCCACCTGCTTACCTAGTGCTTATTGAGTGAAACAAGCATTTTCCAAGTGGGAAGAAGGCCCAGAGATGATTTGCTGAGGGTACATAGATAGTAGGCCTGGACATTGAAACTCAAGGCTGATCTCAGTGATGCCCTTTTCGATGCACCACATGTCCACCTGGCATCTGTCTCCACCAGCCCCCACAACTCAACTCAGACTGCATTACTCTTTCATCCTCTCCAGTCCTCCCTTTTTTCCCATTTGAAAGATTTCTCTGACAATCAATTGTAAGTTCCCAGGGGGCAGGGAATTTCATTTTTGTCTTAGTATTCTCCGTACCTAGAATGTTTTCTGACTTAGTAAGCACTGAATAAGTGCTGGCTGATTGCTTGATAATCCCCTCATAACATCACCCCACCCACGTCAAGGCATCCTTCTATGAATATCCAAAGTTATGGGGATATCCAAGGATCCAGGAATCAGGTTCCATGCCCAGACAGCCTGCATTCCATGTCTCACATAATGGTGACCCTGCAGCTGGACTGTCCAGCCAAACAAAGTCCAGCTTGTTCAGTCACAGAAAGGGAAGCTGCTTCTCCACTCTCTTCCCAGAGGACTCACCTGAGGCAGGTGGTCAAGGTCAAAGTGGGCTTTCAGGCAAAGATGCCCCCAATGGTGGAGGCCAAGATGATGGCCAGGATAATGCAGCAAATCATGATCATAATCTTCTTCTGCTCATCCGGGAGAAGGAAAGAGAAAGCATAGAAGCAAACAATACCATTGTACAAGGAGAGGTCTGTGGGACCTGGGGTTCCTAGAGCAACTATGCTTGTGGAGGATGAAGATGAAGGAGAGACAATGGGAAGGAGAGAACAAACATGGAGCTGGCTTTTGGAATCCAAAGTGCTGCCACTGAGCAAATTACTCCAAGCATGGAAAACCCAAGATGAATCCTATTCTATACGATCTTCAATTTACAATTCAGAGGCATCTAGTTCAACTTCCTCCTTTACAGATGGAGGAAACTAAGCTCAAGACTTTGCCAAGATCATACAAATACTAAATGTCTGGGGCAAGATTTGAAGCCAGGTCTTCCTGTCCAGCATTCTGTCCACTACTTAATTTGTTCCTGTCTGGAGAAACCAGAATCCTTTCAAGATCACAAGACTTAGAGTCAGAAAGAACCTCAGAGATTGTCTAGCTCCCTCCTTTTACAGATGGCTCCTGGAGATAGGACCCAAAAGTTTTAAACCCAGATCTTCCAACTCCAAATCCAGTGCGCTTCCCCCACCCCCACCAGCTGCCTCCCAACATTAGATGTTGGTCACTGGCAACCAGAGGATGCAGACCCAGCTACCTAGAAATTTATACCTTGGCTTGCAGCCCGGGGCAAACACCCACACATCTGCCATGCCTCAGCCCCAGATATCATTAACAGTACATCTCCATCTTCATTCCCTCACAGACACGCCTCACTCTCTAGAATGAGTGATCATCACCCCTGAAGGATTGCATAGAAAATTAAACTGGTGATTCTGATCTCAAAATCTGAGATCATGAGGTCTCCCTGTGAATCCCACCCTCCAGTGGAGGACTTTTTTCAGTGACTGACCCACTGCCTTTCCGCCATTCTAGACCTGTTCTCTGGCTAACCACCACCAGCTGCTTCTTCTTTTTCTATTTCCCATGACAATACTGTTGGAGGAAGCACATCCAATTTGCTAACTGGTAATGAGTGCGCTCCTGTAAACTGGGAAGCCCTCATTCCAACCTCAGATTCCTTTTCTCTCTTAATTTGCTCATATTCCTCACAACTGAAGTCCCAAGACTTTCCCTCAAGGGCTTAACAGCCTAGCATCTCTCCTCATCCTGAGCAGATGACCTTACTCCCACTTTAGTGAGGTCAAGGCCGTCTGTAATGAGTTGCACAATCTTCCCTTCTCTGCCCTTAGAAGCTCATATCCTTTCATAAACCCATCCTCTCCCCTACTCGCCAAGTGTCAGAAAAGGAAGCAGTCCTTCTGTCAAAGATAACTTTCCCATCCAGACCCTTGATCCCAGACCCTCCCACTTTCTCCAACACTTTTAATCTCTCCCTTTGTATCAGTGCTTTCTCCTTGGCCTACAAATTTGCACAGGACTCCCCTACCTTAACTATACATACCTATATATGTACATATATACACATATAGACATGTGTATTTATCTAAGTTAATATATATTCTATATATAATGCGTGTATTATATGTATGTATAATGTATACTATATGTATATATAAATAAAAAATTTTTAACTCTTGATTCTCTGACCACCCCTCCCCACCCAAGTTACAATCTATCTTTCCTCCCCTTCACCATCATAGTTAAAAGCAGCCTACATTCATCAAATCTACTTTCTCATCACCCACTCACTCCATAGCCCCTGACAATCTGCTTTCTGTTCTTTCCACTCTATTGAAACAGTGACCTCCAAACTCATGACCAAACCTTCCTCTCTAGCCTGATTCTCTTTTACCTTTCAACAACCCTTGACCTAACTGAATACCCCCTTCTTCTCGATGCCCTTGGCTTTTATCACACTGTCCTCCCTCATAGCTCTCTTCCTACGTCTGTGACTGCTCTGGTTTTTGTTTTGTTTTTGTTTTTTGCTGCTTCCTCATGCTCCTCACATCAAATACTTAAAGCTGGAAGCAACCTCAGAGGTCGTGCCATCTTACGAGATGACAGAAATAAAAATTAAAGAGCTCAATTGACTTACCCATTGCCATATGGCAGATAAGTGTCCAAGGCTGGATTTTAACCCAGGACTCTCTGACTCCCTTTAGTCCATCACACTGTCCACTACGCCACACTGCCTCCTACCCCTTAAAGGTAGTTTTCCTCCACTACTTTGTTACAACCATCTTCAGTCCCCTATACTCTGTCCCTTAGTCATTTCATTCATTCACGTGGCTGTAATGATCAGCAGTATGCAGTTATCTCCCTAATGTCTTTATCTTCAATTTCTCCCCAGAACATCAGTCCTATTTCAACAACTGCCTGTTAGATACCTCCACTAGGATGTGCTTACAGACTGTCAAAATGTTGTACCTCAGCCAAAAAAAATCTCCCTCCACCCATAAATTCTCTATTTCTGACACAATCATATCAACCTAGTCACTCAGGCTAAAAATCTGTTGACCAGTTTCAAAATATCTCACATCCCCACTCCCTTTTCCATTCCCACTGGAGCCACACCATAAGCTCTTGGAGGGCAGTGTCTCTGTCATTTAATCTTTGTATTCCCCAGAACCTAGCAGGGTACCTCATATTTTTGGCTGCTGACTTAAACTAGGTAGTTAATTTAATTTCACATCCGACTCTTTGTACCAGAACCCATTTCCCAAGCAATCTGGTTTTTCATGTAGAATTTGAGCAAAACCTGAAAATAGCATTAATTACAGTGGAATTCCCATCCCTGGACATCCATGGGGGAAGGTAGGGAGAGACAAGGCATTCTCACAATCAATATAAACTCATTTATTTAAATTAACAATAAAATAATCAAGTTTCCATTAAAAAAAAAAAAAAACAGACCAAAAACCCTTTGCTTTTGGACACACAATACAATTCCCAGTCTCACACATGAGACCAAAGCCGTGTTTTGTTCCTTCTTGGCTCCAGAGCTCCAGAGCCAGTCCACTGTTCAATGCCAGACATCACAGCCTCGGGTGAGAATAGAGCTACAGCCTCCATGGCTCTGTCTACATATTGAAGAGTGTTTAGAACAGACCCGGCAAAAGGCACTATTGGACACTGACCTGGATTAGAGATCCTGATCCATCCTTGAAGCCATTAAGGTAGAGGCTTAAGTCAACAAAGGGTGGTGTGTACCTGGAGTAAAAAGGAGCAAGGAATTTGGGGACAAACCTCATGTACCAGGTGAGAAATCGACCAGCTTATGTTGGCATAAATCTACTATCAGCTCCATGAGAACTTCTGCACACTAGTGCCTACTTCTGAATGGTCTAAAGAAGATGTTCAATACCATTAGTCCCCCCTTGGCATGATGAGGGAGAGACCAAACCCTCTTTGGTAAGAGGAAGGCGTTTTAACAGCAAATGCCATTTGGTCAAAGCTCTACTCCTAACTGAGTGGCTCTGTCAACACAGCCCTGGGAGACTGGCTCTCCTCAGTCACCCTGAGTGGCCCTTCATTTCTAGTGATCCTTAGCACAACCTGGACCTGTGCACAAGGGAGAAAAAAGAACAAGTGCCCACTGGGCAAGTGAGCCATTGGACTAGAAATGATCTTGAGATCATGACATCCAAAACTAGGGATTCACCCTAGAGTTTTCATCTATGTAATGGTCCTCAGGAAGAGTATGTTTTGACCAGGGTTTCTCTCAAAGCTGCACAAACAGCTGGTTGTTTCCTCATCTACTCCCATGAAGAAGTTACTCAAGCTAATTCTAGAGCTAATTATACCTAGAACCTCTGTTCCCCAGGTTCTAGACTGATCGACTCACACCGAAACACAAACACACACACACACACACACACACACTCACACTCACACTCATATATTTAAGGAACTAAAAGTCTACAGTGGCCACTTCCCTCCCCAGAGGGTTAAGGGTCAACTGTTGAGGAGTCTTAAAGGAATATACCTTCCAAAAGACCCAGATTCTTACCACACACACCCCTACATCCTCTCCAGTTCCTTCTGGAACAGTAATCTGAAAATCATTGATACTACCTCTGAGCATCTGGAATGACAGAGGGAAAACAAGTGACAAGAAGCCCTGAACCCCACCTTTATGTTGTGATATTACTAAGGATCAGGCCTCACACTCTTCCTCAATAAGCCAGTTTTCATATATTTGAGTTCTTCCTGGCCACTAGACAGAGAGCTGCATGACCTTCTCCACCAGACAACAGTTGATTTCCAAGATATATACTTCCAAACACAGCCAAGGATGGGCTCAGCCTTGGCAAATGGTGACTTTGGAGGATGATGTCATCACAGTCCCTCCTTCAGTAAACAGCCACACTTAAGAACATATACATATCCACCAAGGAATTAAAAGTCAACATTGGCCTCTTGGCTCCCTTACAGGGTAAAGAGCCAAAAGGTGAGTTTCAAAAAGACTGTGCCTTCTCAGAGACCCCAATTCTTACTATCCTCCGTCATCTCAGTTCCTTTTCTAATGCCAGTCTCTAGGGAGCATTACAAAGATGAGAGTTAGCTCTCTGCCAATGGTAGAGACCCAGGTTTGAGCCCGCTCCTTGTCAAAGTTGGCAGAGGGAGACTGATTTCCACTTTGTGTTTTCTTAAACATTTGTGAAAGAAATAGACAATAAAGAAAATTATTGTAGTTCCTGAGAAAAGAGTATTCCGTGAGGTAGAAAGCAGCATCCCGGGAGGCATCTGAAGGGAGTTCCCAAGTTGCAATTCCGAAAAAGTAGGCTTGGTGATTAGCCAAGTAGGCCTAGGAGGCATTTCAGGGCTGGAGAATGGGTTAGCGGGACACTTTTCAAAAAGAGATTTGGGGTTGGATCAGGACAGGCCGGATACCCTCCTGGGCTGGGCAAATGGCAAACCAGACCCACAATGGGGTTAACTAGGGAACAAAGGCACGTGTCCTGCTCACTCTCTGGAGACTTTTGAGAGGCAACTCCCATCCAGTCCAAAGGAAGAGGTGCAGGGATCCAGCTGGGATAGAATCAGGTTCTGGGAGAAGCAGGGAAGGAGGCGCCAGTCAGTGCACAGGTGGTCGGTGAGAATCAGCAGGACTCAGCAGCAGGCCAAAGAGGTGAGGGGCAAGGAGGAGTTACTGGAAAAAGGGAAGAACAGCAAAGGGGAGATAAATGAACAACTAGGCAAAGAGGTCCGACTCACAAACCTGAGTCATTGAGCAGGCAACAACAAGGCCCCATTTCCAGAGGCCAGGATGCTCACAATCCTTTTTGGGCACATGCCAGACCCCAGTGCAGGCTGCCCAGGGGGCACTGGAGGTCATAGGGCAGACTTTAGAGTCTGAAAGGACATTGGAAATCGTTTAGTTTAGGCACCTAACCTTTGTCCATGAGCAAGTAGAGGGAGAGACAGAAACAGAGGGGAGAAAAAGAAATAGAGAGAGAGAGAGGGAAAGAAAGAGAGAGAGAGAGAGAGAGAGAGAAGCGGGGGGAGGAAATGCCCTTCCCCTAAACTACTACATCGAAGATGGTAATGGAGCTCAGATGCCAGATGTCAGATACCAGCGGAGCCCAGATGC